AGCGTCGAGCGTGCGCATGAACATAACGACGCCGATCTTAATAATCGTGACGAAGTTGAAAGTACAATGCAAACTGCGCTGAACCTGTTCTGCGAGCTTAACATAATTGTGCTACGGTTTACTTTTCATGAAACTAAACATTTTATGCGATTTAATGGCATGTGATGGAGAGGAAGATGCAGAAAAGAATTTTTTTGCGTTAACAGGTGCAATAATAAACAGTTAATATAAGAAACATTGCCATGTTATGTCATATTTTAATTAGCAATTAAATGTTTGCTCAAGTTACGATATTTTAGAAAATTTGATCCCCCTTCGCGTTTAAAACAATTTTGAAGGGATTAAATTGAAGTCAATAATTTTTCCAAATAGTATTATTAGAGTATCAACAATCTAAAGTAACCGAAAGGTATTTGAAAATGTTGAAAAATGAACCAAAGCAAACTTGTTATTTCGCGCGCGAACACTAAGAAAGCGATAAAGGCAAGAACTACAAAATTCGGTATCGCGCGATCTAAATCCCGGTTAAGCACGTGATGGTGAGTCGTCGTCGGGGGATTGAAAAGCTCGTTAAATGGGTCGCATCTCTCGCACACACTCTCGTGCGTATGCGCCTTTCACGTGACGTTGAAAATGCGCCCGTGCATGTTTCGCTCTTCTTCTTTTTCTTCGCGATTTTTTTTCGTCTCTCTGTAATTCTGTTTTGCCTGGGCACCCAAGTGCACATGGGGCACGACGACGAGAGGGGGCAAAACCACACGCTATATATACGCGCTATGCAACACGAAAACAAGATTCGCGCTTGATAATCCTTTACGTCCGGCGTGTTTACCAGACAATAATGACACCTCCGTGTATACATTTCGCCGAGTGGAAATTTCCGATGCCCACAGGCCGCGGCGCGTATAGTATACAGGAACCTGATGCGTACCAAAAGTGCGATGACTTCTGGAATGATCAAAAAAGAAGCAGCAGAAGAAGGAGGAGCTGGAGTTGAACGATGAAGCAAATGTATCGGATAACTTGGTCTTTAAAGGGCCGCGGAAAGTTACCTCGAAACTCGTCTCCTCCTTTTCTTGCTTTCTCTCTTGAACTTGATTTTCTTTCGACGATGACTTGTGCATTTTGCAACTCGTACGAATTAATTAGCCGCCCATGAGGAAGTATACAGGAAAATACACATTATGAAATACTCATTACTTTCAAGTACGAATTTTTTAACCGATATCGATTTTCATTTCTCAAATTTAGATAAAATTTTACTTTTTATTAACCCTAATAACCTCGTTTCAATTAAAAAACCATTGTATACATTTTCTGATGAAAATGTATTTTTTGTTACAAGCTTTTCTCTCATAATTTTTTTTTTCAATATACCTGTGCAGACGGTGTTTTTTGATCCATGACAATTTGATTTTAAAAGTCCCTTCATATTTATATAACAATTAAAACTGATCAAAAATCTTCGTCGGAATGCTTAACAGTAATAATGCTGTAATGACCAGAAAATGACCACTAAAAATGTTTTGATGGATTATTTTTGGCGATTTTTCTGAGACAATTATGTTAAAAGTATTAAGCACTTTTTTTCAGACTAATTTTAAATCGCGTCAAAGACGATAATACAACTTCTAACTTCCACCACTAGATGGTGAGTACCCTCATCTGTAAATCTACAAGTGGCAAAATCAAAATAGTAGTATAAGTCAAATCAGAGGTTTGAAAAATTATGAAGACAATTTTTATTGCCCTTAGTATATGCCTAGTTCTGATGACCTTTTTATGTTCTAGAAAATTTTTAGTTGGTTAAAAATTAGCCATAAAATATTGAGAATTCCTACCAGCACATGTACAACTAATAAAAACTAATTGTAAATTATATTTGTATATATTTCTCGAATAAGAATGTACGAGAAAATAATTAAGTATTCATCAATTTTGCACGATCACGGTCGAAAAAGGCAAAAAAAAAAGAATGAATAATCCGTGCATCATAATATATCGCAGGAAAAATCCTTTGATGATTTGAGAACTATAAATATTATCATTGGAAAAGTTCCGATAAATAAATCCTTTAATCGCATAATTTCAACGGTTGGTCTTACACTTATTTTTGATTTATTATCGGCCGAACGAAGGCAATGTATGCTAAAAGAGGAATTGCAAGTGTATCGGGCTGTGCATACTCCAAACTTGTTTTATTTTTAATCGTACACAAAGTAGCTTCCAGTACACCGATAAACATTTCCATTTATAAATCGCTGAATGAACGTTCTAGCAGTATTCCACGCGCGCACGGCAATTTGAGATCCGAGAGTTTGAACAAAAAAAAAAGTTAAATTGCGTAGTGTCGCAAAAGTCCTTGACGGCCTCGCCACCGATGTTCTCTCTCTCTCTCTCTCTCTCTCTCTTAGTCTCTCTGACATCGATGGTTTTTTGGATCTCTCTCTCGATATCCAGATAGTTAAGAGAGCGACCACGCGGGAGGGAGTTAATGTAATTACGGGCACAGGCAGCGACGACGGCGCACATGGTATGCACCGATTAGCACAGTTACGCACACTCGCTCGCCGGGGCGACACATAACATTTACGCATGCGTTGCAAAACCCGGTGCGCGAGCGAGAGAGAAAACAAGTACGCAGAGGCAGGAGAGCGCATTTGTTAGGCCACTTCTGATCATTGCGTTCGGCGGCGCGCAGACCAGATTCGAACCTTCCAGAATCTATCTCTCTCTCTCTCGAGATATTATATCCCACAGCCTCTCTTGAACCTTGAGAGAAAGGTGCACATCGCCGCATACATGCGAACGCTACGCGCCTGCCCGTTGTATATATAATATCCATGTCTAAATGCAAACCGATGTAAGCGTATAGGAGTGCACCGCGCGCGGGCAGTGCGTGAGTGGAGGAAACGGGTACCTACATTTTTCGAAAAGAAGGTCGCGCCTGCGGGAAAGCTGATTTTGGGAACCGCGCGTATCCCGCAGAAATCGACCATTGACACATTTTCATAGCTTCCTTTATTTTCGATGCGTTGCGAAATTATATTTTTCTAAAAAATCTTGAATTGTTGAATTAAAAGCTACGTGAAAATTAAGAGCGAAGATAAAATAAGGATGATCGCTTCGAATACCAAATTTTACTGTAACGCGTTTACATATTAGGTCATTATTAACGTTGTAAATATTGAATCAACGCGCGAGGGATGACTGTGCGTAATAATCCGAGGATTTTTCCCCGCACTTACTTTTGCTCTTAACTTCTTTTAATGAGACGCTGCAAAAAGAAAAACCACAATTAAGTACACGTAAATAACTCGTTTCAACGTCGCTTGTTTGGTTTTATTTCTATCTTACGAGCGCCGAAAGAAAATGTCACATCCGTAGGAATTTTCCAAATAATCATCCAAATAATGAGCATTTTGATTTTTCTCGGCAAAACATATCCACGCACGTCGGAAAACACTCAACACGACGTTTCAAAATTAGAATTGCCGATCGAAACATACGATCGATGCTATTGAATTGTGCCAGCCCAAGGTACAAGAGAAAAACTACTCTATGGTCAAGTTTATATATGCTCAATATATTATTACAAGTCCAATGAGTCCCGGCGTTTTTTTATGCAACTGACACAGCGAATAATACAACATTGTCGGGTTTTTATCCTAGAAATATCTTTTCTAATTGCAATTTATGATAGTGCAAATTCAATTCTCGCTTCTCCTTGCGCCGCGGATCGTTGCATCCAATTTAAATGGACCTTCCTCTCGCGTCGACCGATAATGACATTCATTGTTAATTGATGCGAGGATTTTGCTAATCAAGCCATAGACGCGTGTCCCGAGCGAACTTACGTCTTCGCTTACGTCCGGTGTTATATAGTCATAACCGGTCAAACTTATACTAAATTTTTATATAAATATAAATATCTATCGGTTTATATATAAACACGCGGCATTAAATAATTTTTTCGACGTCGGCCGAGTATTAAAATGAACAGGCTCTCGACCCATGGAGTTAATTTCAAAATCATAGTCACGCAACGCGTATACATGTGAACCTGAAAATGAATAGGTGACATTAATACTATGGCTTTGATCTTTTTTTTCCAAGTAGTTTTCTAGATCGTTCTAAAGCGAAAAAGGTCACCTATCGCGAAAAATGTCATACATTTTATTAATATTATATTTTTGATATTTTATTATCTTTGCACTGTAAGACATGTTTCTTAGGAAATAGTCCACGGAAGTTTGCGACGTAATTGTACATCACCTGATAATTCAGGATCTCACTTTATTTTTAAGGAAAATATTCTAAATCGCTATTCTAATTAATTAAGAGACCTTTGCATTGAAGTAAAAAAAATACGGGAAAAACACACATTCTTCTCGTTGATTCATGGCTTTATCGCTATCGGAAGTTTACATGTTATTTCGAAGCGATAGAATAATTATAAACAGAATAAGTTCATTTGTTATTCCTGGTATTTTTGGAAGAAAAAACTATCAGTGTTATTGCGATGTTCACGTAAATTATTTTTCTTTACATAAAAATAATTTAGCTCAAGCTTAGGGTTAAAACACGTTATTAAAGATAACAAGTAAAAATGATCCCAGTACAAATTTTACTAGCATTTTTTTGTATATTAGTAAAAGTATTATTCGAGGATAATTTCAATAAGATTCACAACGAACCACATCATTTTCTTTATCCTCAAATCTTTTTATTACTCCCGAAGGCATCGAAAAGTTTTGAAGAAAAATATCCATGTACATAACAAGATCATCCGACGATTAAAACCCATTCATTAATTGATCCGATCAAGTGTATGTAATTTAAAGTAAGGTGATATACCTCGTAGGATTGCAACAAAAAAATATATATACGCACGCACTGGAGCAAAGAACGTTTTATTCGCAGAAAATCGATTCATCATCATCATCGGTTATGCATAAAAATTGTCCGTTTTGCGCGCGATTTTCTTTACCGAATAGTAGTATACATTAGAGATTTAATTGTTTGTGAAAAAAGCTCTCGATTTTTTCAACAACAAATTATTTGAGTGACATGCACACACACGCGCAGACAGAGCGTGGAAAACTTGTTGCTTATATGAACGTCTCAATTAAGCTACACGATTTAGACGTTCGGATATTTAATCTCCCTCTCTCGCTCTCTGTCTCTTGGCTGTTTTGCACTAATTATACGTACGTACAATATAGTACGGCTCTGGCGTGGTTATTATTCCCAAAGTTTCCCTCTTCGTTCGTTGAAAAGCGACGGCGAGAGAGACCGATTTTCTCGGATCTGATTTACCATCGCGCGCGCCGCCAGGTGAGCATTAACGGCAGCATCAGGACCGATCGCGCCGACGATGCTCTCGAGATAGATCCGATTCATTGTCCGTCGTTATACATGCTGCGCTCGTATAGAAAACGAAAAGTAAGGAAAAATCATACATACCACACATGTATAGAATCGTGATAAACGCGCGCATACCTCATGTACGAAACATCGGTTGAAATTTTTATCTCTCTGTCTATAATACGAGTATATAAAATATCCGCGAGCAGACAGAGAAAGAGAGAGGGAGAAGCTGTGCACACGTGTAGCCGAGAAAAATGAGCACTAGGGAAAACAGGATCGGACGATGTAAGGGTGAGCTGATATCTTGTATCTTTTAATATACGATAGAAAATGCTACGCGTAAAGAGCGCCGAGCCCGAGAGCCGGTGCATGTGTACCTTTTTTCGACGAGTCACGCGATGCACAATGAGGGTTCGAACGATGTACACCTACTTGCCAGAACCTCCTCTCAGATCAGGACAAAAAAGTAGCGAAGAAAACAGGACAGAGAATGTGAATTTACAATGAAGAATAATCATCGTCGATATAGTTGCGTAGATAAAGTTTTTGCTGTATCACGAACCACGCCATCGTCGTCGTCGTTCACCTTTGTATATCAAAGTAACAAGGTGTATCGATGTGCGCAAATCTCGTCAAGGTCACGAAATTTTTGAAATTCCACAGTCGAATATATCTATCGAAACTCGAAATAGCGAAATGTGCGCAAAAACGTCGTAGCTTATACGAGGCTCGCGAATCCTCGCGTGCGCACACACGCCAGATGACAGCATTGCATCACCGCGCGCGAAATAGTACAGATCTAGAGAGAAGTGCGTCGTTCGGCGCAACAACACAATCCAAAAAGCATCTAATGGACTCGAAGCGGTGCGCACAGGAGGGAGTGCAACACACGGGCAAAAAAAAAGTCGCTCGCACACAAGCTGCTGCTGCTGCTGGAGCTTACACAAGAGATATCGAGCGAGTCCGTGCGAGTAAAAAAAGTTCATTGATCCGCGTGTGTGCGCAAGGAAGATCTTTCGCATACGCGCGATCTCGGCCTGCAGCGGCGGCAGCAGCAGCAGCGAATGACGCGCGCGATTGGCTCGAGCTCCACGTGCCGCTGCCTCCACCACCGGCTGAGAAACCGATATTTCTTTGGCGCTCGGCGATGCCGGCCCGACACTTTGGCTCTGTAACGCGAAGCGAGAGCGTCTCTGTGGTATACTCACGTTGTTGATATACACACACGTCCCAACGCATAAATACACACGTCTCTGCATTGTACTTGTGCATTTGACAACAGTCCTACTGTGTGACAAGTGCGTGAGAGAAATAATAAAAAGAGAGAGAGACCAATATTATATTTGCCAGTGATATTTTATACTTTGCAACCGAGTGATAAATTTCTTGCGCCAGATTCCGTTTGAGACTGGCTGCAAGCTGCCATATAAACAATTTCGCTAGTTCTTTCAATCGAGACTTTCGTCCGTAACGAATTTTCACTCGACTCGAATCGCGAGATATAAAACTTAAGCCGCAATCATGAAGGATTTGATGTCGATATGGAGCCGACTCTCCGGCAAGCACTATGCCATGGTCAGCCAGAAGTCAAGGAGGGAGCCGACGCAAGCCAGCCCGGACGATCCACACCAGGAAGCCGCGCACACTCTCCGACGAAAATCCTCCATCGTCGTCAATCGATACTTCAGCAATGCCATACCCATGCACTCGGACGGCCGACTCAGGTGGTCGAGAAGTAAGTTTTGCAAACGCAACACACGACTCTTTTTAATAAACTCGAGAGCTTTCGTGCTTTCCACGAGCTTTCGTCTCCGCTTCTTCGATTTTTATTTCCATCTTTATCGATTCTCTTTTTGCTTTTTCTGGTTCTCTGAGGGAATTTTTTACGACTGTTTGTGGCTTTTTATGACGACTTCTATATGTGAAAATAAGTTACTGTAATTGAGGATCGTAAAAATTTAATTTTACAACGTTCCATAACTGGATCAATTTTTTAATCGAGCGCATTAAAGTTCGTGTGAATTTTTTCGCTATCGATTGAAAGCTTCATTTCTTGACTCAATTAAACATTTTTATTTCACTCTCTGGTGTCAGGTAGTCTCGTTCGTAAAATTATTCACCAGATAAAAAACGAAACTATTCATTCGGAACGCGTATCGATCAAATTGGTTGGGTATCCAACGGCGTCAAAAAAAAGTCGAAACATGAAATTGTCTCGATTCACCCGCTCGCACACACTCTCGTGTCGCCTTATTACATGGCTCTCGCGCGATCGAATTAATTAACGCTTATATGAGCTACGTATTCATTAAAAGAACTGCAAGTTTTTGCGCGCGCGTGCGCACCTGCGCGACGAACTACGCAAAAACTTATCGTACTTTCGGGTCGATGATTATTTTTTGTCGCATGGATTTTTCAAGAAGTTTCTGCAATTTTCTTCTGGCTGCGCGCGTACGCCGTATAGATATATATCCGTAATATGAAAACGCTCGCGATCAGGAAACAATTTTTTGCTCCGCACGCGCGGAGGTATTTTTTTACTCGCGTGCGCGCGAGGTGTAATGATCGCGATCGGCGGTGCGCGCGCTGCGTACGAGAACTTCGGATTATCACTGATGCGTAATACTAAGCCAAAATCTTTTACTTGTCAGAGAATTGACGATTCTAACGCGATTATGTGAAAAAAAGTCCACTTTGTTCATTGTCGATTGATAAACACCTAGTACTAGTTGTCGACTCAATCGATTGTGAAAATAACATAAGCTCTGGATACAATAATCCTAAAGTTGATAAATCATACAATTAAATCTCCTATAAAATATCGTACTTCAGCTCTCACAATGACGTCAGGCGTGAATAACTCTTCTTACTCTCGTTAAAAATCGGTACATAACTATGACTTCTTTTTGCTAGAAAAAACGGCAAATCCGAGCCATGCACTCCTCTAATGACCAGCGCCCCATGACGCGCGCGCACGAGTATAGGTAAACCGGACGACCTTGGCGCGAATAAAGGACTGTGCACCGCGCGAATAATAATGCTCTGGTTTTCTCGTTCGAGTAACGAGAGTAGAGAGAGAGAGAGAGAGAGAGAGAGAGAGAAAATAGAGATCGAAGTTAATTTTCTTCTTTCCACGAATCCATCCCATCTTCGGTGTCGTTATCCTTTACGTAATTACATTCGAAGAGCGAAAAATGTCGTTCGTTTGGTAGTGAAATGCGCCTCTTTATCGGCTACAGCTCGACAAAAAGGTAAACAAAGGAAAGGCGCGAAACAAAATAGAAGCCAAAAAATCAATTAGAATGAGTATTTACGGTAATCAATTCCATTGTGATTTCATTCGTCCATATAATAGAGCGATTACTATACAATGCTTAGCCGACACGAACTGCGAATCGAAGTTTGCGCATTGAATAATTCATGCATTTTTATTGCATCGCCGATCTCCGACACTGTGTGGTCTATAAACTTTTATAAAGTGTCGATGCTCGGCGTGCACACTTTGCACGGATGGTACGAACTCGAACATTGAATGAAAATGTTTCTGAAAAAATTAATATTTTACTTCATCGCGATAAGCGTTTTCTCAGCTAGGACAAGACTTTGAAAATCCCGCCCGAGTCTCTAGCAAAGTCGATACATTCGCGCAGAGCAGAAATCTGCATTGCATATTAAATCTGCTTTTACCCTAGAGGTGTTCGGTGCGCACATGTCGCAAGAACTAGTCGTAAATATAATTTCATTGCTGACCTCAAACGCGCGTATAATATTGGTGTATGCTTATTAAGCACACGAGGAAGAAAGTGCTAGAACAGCGGCAAATTTTTGCGCGATCAATCTCCGTTGTTGTGGCATTACATCAGCGACAAACAAATAGCCCCTGCGCGCTTTTGCGTCAAAAAGTTTTATAGACAATCATCGGTTAAATAACAGGCTCGGACTACGACTGACTACTACTACTGCTACAACTAAATACTATACTATGACTATACTATGAAGCGCACCGCCTATCGTATAATCCTATTTCTGGCCGCTGAAAAAAATTAATCCTAGATGCAAATCGTCGAGCGCGCGTCATTGTATTTCCAAAAATATATACATTCAATTTCTTAAAGCGTGAGACGAGCAGCAGCGGCAGGTCCTGCTGGTAGCCTATGACGTCGATGCGATAATTGCTTCTCGGGAATCTTTTCATCTTTGAAAGCAACGCAGCAACAAAAAAAAGTAACAACTCGAATATCGACTTTATTAGGTTCAACATCAAAGACGTGTAAACAACAATTCGCTTGCGGTTTTTTTTTTTTTTTAATTATTTTATTTTTCCGTTGTGTGTTTTTTTTTGTTGTTTCACTTAGAAAATTGACGCGCAGCAATACGATGACAGCAGCAAGATAAACGGATCTTTCGTTGTGCTATGTCGCGCTTAGTGCAGTGCAGGCTATACGTATTGTATGCGCGATTCTCCTTGGGTTGGGGCCAATTATGGTAAAAAGTACAACTCACACACGGCGCGCGGTGCATCATAGCTCGTTGAATTTCTCGGGAATTGAAAATGCGATTTTCAATTGTCGCGCGCGACACATCCGAGAGAGTAAGCGTTCCCCCGGTATTTCCCAATCATTGTAAAAAGTCGTGGTGTACGGTACATGTGCACCTACGCTACGTTTGAATAGCCTCCGCGACACGACTCGCCTTAGCAAGGGCATAAAAAAAAAGGATCGCGATAGCTATAAATAAGCCATTTATCGCTTGCTCGCAAATGTACTGTTGTCCTATACGGTGAATGCTCATATGTAGGTATGTATGTAAAATTACATGGGTCCTCGAAAGCTCGAGATCTGTTGTTGCTTGGCTGCTGGCGTCTTAATGTGCTCGCGCGTCACGTGAATTAAACCGGTTGGGATGCTCCGAAAAACGCCATGGGGCCAGGATGACTAGGCGTTATATCGGACGCGCACACGTGAGTGCGTCTGTCGCGCGCTACACGAAAAGTTCCTCGCTCGCGAAGATAAGCTCGCCTCGCGAGAGCCTTTGTACGCATGCACGCGCATTTATAATATATAGCATATATTATATAGCGGGTCATTGCAGCGAACCGGTTTACATCCATCGGCGGCTGCCAGCACGGGGGCCCCGAACACGCATACACACACATATATAAATGACGAACAAGTCGCGCGCGCGCTGGTCAATGGAACTTTCCAGATCGCGCGATCTCGCACGCCAGTGGAATTCGCGATATAAAGTATGACATCCCGATCGGCTCCCGATCTAAAGAGCCTTTCAACTTTTCTCCAATTATGCTGTTTTGCCTACGCTTATTGAAACGACTGCTGCGCTCGCGAGTCTCGGGTTTCTCGCAATAAGTAGCATATAGTCGACACACCCAATTCGTTCGTTCGCGATCTCGAGCGCGACGTCGTTTCCGCGAATGTAACGTCGCTCTTTGTCGACGAAATTTATGGCCATCGTCGACTTGTTGTTGAAACTCATCGCATTTTCACGCGGTACAGGCCAACATCGTGCATTTAGATCGCACGGACGAGATAATCATAAGCTCGCGAACACGGTGGAAATGACACACCGCTGGCCGAGGTGAATCTAACCGCGTTATCGTTTCCTGCATTGGGAGTATATTATATAGAAACGCCTGGAAAATCCGCCGGATGACGATGCGCGTCTTGTGTAGCACGAAGATCGTCTATCGATCCTTGAACGCCTGTCCGATTCGATATATCGATACTCCTGTAATTAATTCAGCCACGTGTCTCGAAAGGACGAATATGGGCATAGCAGCTTATATTCGCCGAGAGCTGCTTATAGAGATGCGCTCGATCGAGAGATCGCAGCACGTGATCGCAGAAAACGTTTGCTCTCGACGGCCAGCCAAGAGAGTCATCGTACTCGTTCGGCCGATTTCCGTGAATGGCCGTTGCTTACGCACTACAATTGCAATGCCAGCGAGCAGATAAAAGAGAGCGAACTAGCGCAGCTGCGATCTCTCGCGTACACCACCACTATGAGTTGCTGCCGTTTCGAGTCACGTTTGACCTATACCGTCGAATCGAGTCTCTCTATATAATTGCGATAAGGGTAAAATGCACATAAGGTCTTCGAACTACTGCCGAGACAATGCGAAAATCCCGACTATGTCTCTCGAGACGACGACGACGTTTACTCGTACGCGAGCGTATCAACAAGTATGTGGCGGACGTGCACTAGTCTATTATTAGTAATCGTATGTATGTATATCTTACGCCGATAAGACGGAAAAATTGTATTCTCGCTCGGCGCGCATAAATATAATTTGCAAATATATAGCGTGCGCGCCGACGAGGAAAAAAAACGTTAAAAGGCAATTCGTCGATTATCGCGCGTGGTTAACGCAAGGATCGGTACGGTACACAGAGTATAATTGATGGTTCTCGTCGAGCTGTACGTGACTACTCGTCACTACAAACGCATAAGATCGTTAAGAGAACGGTTCCGTAACGAGAGGATCACAATCGGTTATTTCGGACAAATTCTCGTCATTTACGTGGTCATTTAATTTTACATAATCGCAACGCTGCTGCCCATTAAAGACGCAACACGACGCGGTGTGGCATTGCAAGGATCAATTGTATACCGAGAGATTGGGGGCCCGCGTGCCCACCCGTGCGTTCACCTGTTACGTATTTTGAACCGTGCACTGTATGTATATACGATCGATTTACCCAAATGAATTACCGCAGTAGGGCACGGACTGCCCGCACATTATGCAAATCCGTCGAATTTCGTAATAGATGTGTATTATATAGATCGATGCTCTATATATATAAAGCCGTGCGCAGATAGAGAGGTACCCGCAGCGGAGAAAGAATTTCTATGTGCGCGCCGCGGAGAAAGTGCTTCCGTGCTCCGAGACCGCGCGGCGATCGTTTAGTTCAGATACACGCGTAGTAGAGTTACGCGTCGCCTATGCCAACCCGACGGACTTCTTTTTTTTCGTACTGCCCCTCGAGAAATGATCTGTTATATCTGAGCTACTTCGTTATTATTGCGGCCGGTGCATGTGTAGTTTTTAGCGTAACGTGTACGCTCTACCGTCTTCCGAGTTTGTAGCATGGGATATGATCCCACTGTACTGAGCATGCGATCTCTAATTCATAAGGTAATACAGGTAATTCACAATACATATAGGTGCATGACCCACGCTTTGACTCATATACAATTATTCTGATTTTGCCACTTGCAGATTTACAGATAAAGGTACTCGCCATCTAGTGGTGAATGATTAAAGTGGTACAATCGTTTTTTGAGACAGTTAAATTGTCATCTTCAGTTTATTTATAATGTGTTCAATATTTTTAACATAATTGTAACAGAAAAAATTGCCAAAATCAGCTCTCAAAACAGTTCAAATTGCAATTTTTGGCTCGTTCGGCCGTTATTACTGTTGAGCACTTTTCCATCGAACGCTGCAAAATTGAGTCGGCTCGAACACGTCTGGAACTCGGTGATTAAAGAAAGATTTTTTTTTTTACACTGATAATTTTCCGTTACCATTTCCAATACTGTCGAGACGAAAAAAAATTGTTTTTCGAAGCAGGCAATAATTGTAGCAATTAATTAATAATAATACCCAATAATGACCGCGGCTATCCGATGTAAGCAAGCTTGTTATGCGCTTGAAAATTTTAAACGTCTCGGATATCAAATTTGCTGTGTACACAACTCCTTGATACGAATTTACGTCAATATTCTGAGAAAATGTGCGATCGTCTCTCGAGTCGATGCCGCACGTGCGCCTCTCCGATACATCATACACATATGGGTGCGAGGAAAAGTCATTCACATCTGCATCTTTATGTTACACCATGTCGCACACGCTCCTATCGCACTGGATCGTAAAGTGAATCATCGTCGAGAATTTCAGTCTATGTTCTGTTGAGTTATTTTTTTTTGTATCGCGATTTTTTGTGCCTCAAAATCGCCATAAATCATATTTTATTACTCTAATTGGTATTCAAATGCGTCTGTTTAAGCTTTTACGATCTTCGCTCGCGCGCACTCACGGCGGCGTAGGTGAAGCTCGAAAAAGAGGAAAAGCCAGACGATATTGCTTACGAGAGCCGATGAGATTCGCGCTCGCGCGTTTTTATCGCCCCCGAGAGCCGATCATTGAAATGTGAGCAGCGCGCGTCATTTTAATTGTGCACTTTCGATCCTTATAACGTCAAACTCGTGTCAAACGCGCGCGGCATAGTGTTTCGCGCTTTTTTTGCCCCCCGTACGCGCGATCTTCGATTCGTCGTCGTGGTACACACGTATAATTGCGCGCTCTTATAACAACGGGGAAAAATCTTTGGCGTCAAAAGTTAAAACCTATATCGAATTTCCGTACGAGGAAATTCGAGACGAATAAAAAAAATCTCGAGCTCGAGCGCACCACGTGAAAATCATAGCCGGGGGATGTGTTGTCTTGACGTTATCGGACGAAGCTACGTGACGGTGTGTGCGTATTGTAATATCGGCGCGGGCAAAGCTCAAGGAGACGAGTAAACAACGATCGAATCAGAAGCAAATTTTTAATTTATTATGTACCAATAAACACATATCGATGATGCATTTATCGCGGTATAAAACTGAGAGAAAGAAAGGAAAAGATTATGCGTATTCTTTTGTTTTTGTCATGTATACACGTCGAACTTCCCTTGGCTCTTTGTTCGCGCTAGAGGATTCAAGGTTTTCCTTTGACTCGGAAAAAAGTCTGTGCATGCGTTTTATATATACACGCAAATACGAGTGAAAAATATATACGTGTGCGAAGGCGTCGAAATGAATAATTTATCGGGATCACTCGGAGTTGGACGATGACAAGCCGCAATCAGGAAAAAGAGCCGCGATCTTATAGCGCGTCTTTATATTGTTATACTCGTTATAAAAATCTTGAGTAATGTGTTACGCATTTTTCACGTAACGACTGCGGCGCGACTCCGACTCTCGCGCACACGCGACGAATATTACGCGAAAACGTACTGTGAGTCAGGACTGCGCCGGGGGGGAAAGAAAAATGCGTAGTCGACGAACGCACGCATTTCGGAAAAACAGATTATAGTTGTCATGAGCTTCGGTCAAAACTGTACGAACGATCTGATTTTTTTGCTCCGCATCGGTGCGCCTGTCCATCTCATCCAACTCTTTCGCGAGACAAGAAACTTGATCGATTGAATATGGTGCGCGCGTACACAAAGCTGACGTTTTTCTCTCCCTCCCTCCCGCCCGCCCGTTTAGCCGATATGTAAAATTGACATTTTTTTTCCACGCCACGCGATTTTTCAAGGACGATCGCTCACTTGGACGCGCGCGCGCGTTAATAATTATATAAAATTTTTTTTACACGAGTGCACTGCGGATGAAGTTAATTTTGCAGACGCATTGATATATTGCGAGAGATCGAGATGTACATCTGACATTGCCAGCGAAAAAGTCTCTCGGCAGCTGCTGCTCTCTCCCTTGCTGATAACAGACGATCGGACTCGCGAGTACAATTTAAAACTCGGAAACTAGGTCATTTTATTTTGTTGTAGTCGTCGTTATCGCTCGTTATTTGTTATTATGTGTAGCTGCGAAGAAGCGTCGCAATAACATAAACATAACAAACAAACTGCATATCGCGATTCAGTCGAAAAATTCACGCGAACTTATCGCTGAAACGTCGAAGAGCAGTTTACATCATTATACTTAAGCTTTTCATCAATAATTTTTGACGTCTCGATATATACCGAGTCTCAGAATCTCACCTCGTCCGCGAGATTCCATCAAAAGTGGTCAACTTAAAAGAGACATAAAAATTTGCAACAACTTGGAGCGGCGCCACACGCGCAAAATTAAGTTCTCGATGTTCTTTATTACATGCACGAGGCGTGTGTTTGAGTACTCGCGCTCGCTTATTAATTACCCCGACGTCGAGTCTGATTTAATGTCCAGAAGCGGAGAGCGAGAGAAGATAAGAGAGAGACTCGGAGCCTGTTGTATAGCACGTGTACGCGCGTGTAATGGAACGCATCCGTAATTCGTCGTATCTCACGTTGTGTACTCGTTATTTCGCGTTGAACCTGCTGCTGCTGCAGGGCGTGCATAAGGTATTATTAAAGCACCTCCGCTTGTAACTTATAAGGGAAGATACGAATTTGAACCAAAGACTTATGGATATTATAGCCAAAGGAACATAATGAAAAGCGCCTTTAATAACCAGAACCCTTGCATTTTGATCTTCTCCTCAGGCATCTTCGTGCTGATGAGCTTGGGCTTGCTGGGACTGGTGATCGGCTGCCTCGTGTTCGTCATCCAGCCGTACGAGTTCATCTTCAAGTGGAAGGCGACCTTCGGGCCGGGCGGCGAGATCTACGAGATCTGGCGCAAACCGAGCGTCGATCTCTACGTGAAGATATACCTGTTCAACTGCACCAACGCCGAGGCCTACATGGCGCGCAAAGAGGATAAGCTGCGATTCGTCGAGGTCGGCCCCTACGTCTATCAGTGAGTATATCATCAATAATAAACAGATTTTGCAGGGAAATTTGTATACTAAATGCGATTTTATTAAATTTTACAGAGAGTTCCTAGAGCACGGCAACGTGACGTTCAATCCCAACGGCACCGTGTCCAGCATACCCAAGCACCCGCTCAAGTTCGTGCCGGAGCTGAGCAACGGCACCGAAGAGGATATAGTCGTCATGGCCAACATCGCTTTATTGGTAAGTGGCAGATTTACAATATATATTATATTATAAATACTATATTACATATACGCGTGCACGTCAAACGGATTTGAAAACTTTCCGAAGTGCGCGACGCCGGCGAGTCATCGCGGACTCGAGCGCCGGTAAAACCACCGCTGCCGACGATCGATTCAACCTTGAATTTCCCATGTATGCCTGCGCTACGCATAGCCGCCGCCACCCTCGCGAGCGCCACCGAGCCGTCGCCTTTTCCACGCTATATGGGAGAAAAAAGAAAATGCATATACCCGGAGAACCTGTTTTTCTGATCGTGTGCGCACAAATAACCGCTCGTGCGTGTGTACGACTTCTATACGGTTTTGCAGCAGATGCAGCAGCATCGATAAAAGGGCCGAGTGCGGTGAAGGCGCGCCGCGCGTAAAGCTGTCCTTGGCAAGGCCGCCGCCGAGTGCGCCAGGGGAATTTCTACTTGCGCGCGGCATTAATCACCGCTTGCCACGGCTTTTTTTCTCTCTCTCTCTCTCTCTCTGCCGTGCGCAAAGTGCGTTAGAGAATTCCGGGAAAATTTATTTTTAAACCCCGTAAGAGCAGCGATCGCGAGAGAGAGGATCGGTCGTTCACCCGCGAGCTTCGGTGCCAGCTTTTTCTCATTCGCGCGTATATGCAGTAATGCTCTGTGCCTAGGTGCAGTTGTCTGATGAAGATCGGTAAATCGTTGAAAATCGACCATACTCGTATTTTGATTTTGCCCATAAAAGCAACAGTCATTTATCTTCTACAGAAAATTATCACTGCCTCCTGCAGCAGTCGTGTATTTTCTCGCTCCTATCGCTTCTTCTTCTTCTTTTTTGATCGTCTTCTTCGCCTCGTGCAAGACTGACAAGAGTACCGGCAAAAATATAATATAATGCAACAAGCCGCACTAATTATTTCAGCTTCGCGCGTGCACGTGCAGTCGTGTAGATCCGTATAGGGTAAATTATCAATCAACGAACGAATTAAAATAATAACAACGAGGCGAGATAGTGGCTATCGTTCGTGCCCTACATTGACGCGTGAGCTTTCGGCCGCGAGCGTCGTTATAATTTATTATATACTTCAATCATATTGAAAATTGCCACTTGATCATATTATAACATACACAAAACAAGCATTGCAGTGTTTTTCACGAGGCTTTAGGGTGCCTGATCACAAAATCATCTGTTCGACGCGCAACTCTCGCGTGGTTCTGTTAAAATTCTGGAAACGCAGTCGATCGCGTATTGTCGATTCGGCGCACGTGGCCAAAGATTCTCTCCATACGCACTCGCATGTCTTTGGCGAAAACAAAAGTGTACGACGGTACGCACACACAGCAGCAGCCTTTTATCTCTTTCAATTTCCTCTTTTCGCGTCGATCGAAACGTGACCGTCGTATACACGCCTCCTGCATTGCACTCGCCTTATCTTTAAAGCCAAAAAGAAAAATTAATTCGATGTGTGCGCGCAACATTGCACTCGAATCTTGCTCTGCTCCGCTTTCGGTGCGCGTAAAAATCCCTAATTGGGTCGGTCGAGCATCACATGGCGTGTCAATGGCGCGATATTTTCATACATGAAAATCATGTGAAACGAGCAAAAAAAAATAACCGACCGATCTCTGGTCTCTCAAAGATATTCGCATCGGCCGTCGTTGATAATGCGATCTCGCAACGTGTCCGACGATCAACGGGTTATCGAAGAGCTCGACACGAGCTGCCGCTGCAATTTTCTCGTTTCGGACCCGAGATCATTGCGGCAATTCTAAAATTAAATATCAAAGTGCGCATAAATTTCGAACGAGCCTTTGAAAGCTGCGCAACTCGCGGCGGTGGCGCATAATCCGGAAGCTTTCCGCATTTATCAAGGACGACTAGTATTTTTGCTAAAAGACAGCTCCGTACATATAATATCGAGAAAGATGAAGAAGAAAAAAAAGAAAAAAAACGACAACAAACTTCGGAAATTGCGACGAACGTATCATATACATATAGGCAGGTATATGTACGAGTTGAATAATACGACGACGACACTTGACGATCGCGCGATACATTTCAATAATCACCGAGTCTGGCGTAAACTAGCCTCTTGTGCGCGTCGCACGACCAACTCCGTCATCGCGTACGGAGGATCGTAAGCCGCAGCAGGAGCAGCAGCAAAGCAACGCGGCAGTCGCATATGAGCGCAAAAAATCTAGACTAGCTCGTTTACGGCTTATAGCTGTAATTAAGACAACACAATCATGCGATATGAAAAAAAGCTCGCGCGAACGCGAACACATACGCGCCGATGATCCAATGACCGCGAGGCGCTTATTATATTATCAATCATTACGCAATGTCCCAGCAGCGTATTTAATAATCGCGGACGATCCCCAACGCAACTGGCTCCTGCCACGCACACCCGCTTATCCACGCCGCAACTTGATCTTGACGTCTTTTACGTTAAAATTTTAATATTTATCCGCGTAAAAGTTCCTACTCGCGTCGTCGTCGTCGTCGTCGTCGTCGTGCGCGCGCTCGGTTATTATGGCCATATTAATGTCACGTTTAATAATCCTCGACGTACGCTCGTGGCACACACAATTCGAGTGAAAAAAACGTATTTACGTATTATACGTATACGCGCGAGACAGCAGCAATTGCGACCGGTGCAACAGTGTGTAACTTTTTTATTGCCTCTTTCGCGCCTATAACGAGAGCACCTGAATAATGGTTTTTTTTTATTTCAATAAGCTTCTTTTGGTCGAAACAATCGTCGTTGGTGCGTTACGCGCATTTTTTCTCCCCGAAATTGCGCAATGCAAATAGTCAAACTCTCGCACGCAACGTTGAACGCCGAAAAAATCCGCGGACTGCACGCGACTCGTGCGGCTACTCGTGAAGCTGGACGCCCGATTGTCACGTTTATGCAACCTTTGGTATTTTAACGCGCTGTAGCGTACGCGCGAGTCGTCGGTCGGGTGCGCGTGCACCGGACTTAGGATTATTGCTCGTTTGTGAGGCGAGAAATCGAGAGAGGCGTCGAGTTTGCGGTCGTTGCTTCTTAGGCTTTTAAGGATGCCTCGTAGCTAATTTACTTTTGCAACCGTGACTTGCTACTTTTTCTCGCCCGTACTGCGTTATTTTCGAATGAATTAATTTTGAAAAATTACGATTCACCCACGATGCACCGATCTCGAGGCTGCGTACATAAAGGATTTTCGCGCTCTAAACTCGAGACTCGAGACTCGCGGCAAAGTCGCCAAACTCTCGCACAGATGAATCAGTGCTATGTGAATATTAAAGAGGATATATATTTCACGATAACTCTCGAGAGCAGTGAAAAAAAAGACATTAACACGGTATTATTCGAATTCAGCCGAGTTTAATTCTCTAACGAGTCTGTAAGTGGTTTTCGAACCTTCTCGATTAATCTTATAAATTGCAACGCGCGTATTTATAGCAGTTATTCGCCAAAACAGCGCATTTCTTCGTATCCGCAGCGCAAGCTTCGTCTCGAGACTCTGGATGACTTTGTTAATTTTCGTCGCTTCAGTGTGGATTTGAAACCTGTCACAGTTGCGGAGGAAACTTATCCAAAACATACGTTTCGGTCGGTTTTTTTTGCTTCCCCAATTAATTTTCATTCGTAATAGAGGTTGAAAAATAGAGATGTACAATTAATCCATCTTTCCTTTGACAATGATTCGATAAGTGTCTGTCGGACAGTTGGCGCGTAATATATAGTTCGATCGATTATCCGAACGAGAGATGTTATTTCATAAACTTTGACAATCATCGACATTTTGCTCTATTATTGATTGTCACATTGTACATGCCCTGATACAAATGCTCAACATTTATAATGACCAAATAACTAAAGAATGATCGTTTATACATGTTTTAAAATGTAAAATCATTATTAAAAATTTAAATCAGTTTTCAGTTACTTTGAATACGTTAATAAGACTTTGAGCATCCGCCACTAGATGGCGAGTACCTTTATTTCTGTAAATCTGCAAGTGACAAAATGAAAAAAAAAATATAAGTGTATAGAAAATTTAAGGGTGTTTAGAGAGATTGAGGTTCAAGTAAATTGTTAAGGTTAGAGTAGATTGAGAAAAAGTTTGCGAGTGGCATCATAGCCTAATGGACTCAATTTAATTACGTCGACTTTTAATTTGCCGCGTGGAAAAATCAAGAGCAGAGTGAACTGTTGCTTTATTGTGCCGGTCAGTTTAGGTTTACAAACGATTCACGAGCTCGCGCGTACAATATTCCAAGCTGATACACAATATACGTGCACGCACACACACGTATAATGCGAGTTTGTGTGCAGCTTTGTGCGCCACTACCGATAAGAGAGAAATGATCGAAGTTGAAAACGTGACTGCGAAAATGGAACGCCGAGTTCTCGGGGTGTATACGCGTGCGGCACATGCATCCCGCGCGGCCTAAGCCAAAAGATGCAAAAACGCGTCTTTAATCTGCGAGCGCTGATAAACGATTATCTTCTTCTTTTTCTTCTTCTGCCTTTTCTTTTTCTCTATGCGTTAAAAGATGTCCGTTGTTTGAAAAATGCGATAATGCTCATCTCGACTTCGACGCGACGCTTGCAGATTTATTTGATTTTTTTGGTGAAATTCGCAAAAGTCACGTATACCCAAAAAACTAATTCAACGAGCAAACACTCGAATTGTCGTACGAATTGTATAAGCAACCGGTCGTCGAAGACTGCTCATTTTTACAGTTAATCCTCTGGTCATCGTCGCGATTGCGCATCTTACATCACTTATGCAGTAACATTCTCGGCACCGTTACACGTTACGGTCTATTACGCGAGAAAATCTTCACCTATTAGCCGCCCCACTCGAGCTAGCCGCGCGCACATAATTATAATAGCTCGATACGATAGCGTCGCAAACTTTTAATATTTATCATCCAGGAGATACACACATATATAGAAATAATAAGATATATATTAATATTTCTATTAAATAATTTTATTGAGGGTTAAAGATGTTCTCGTCTCGGAGAGAGCGACTCGAATGCCAGTCTTCTTTTTTCCTTCCTAACCGTCACACTTTGGTAGCTGAACGTAGTTACAAACGAACATTCGACGTTCGCTACAATACCCCCCTTGGCAGTGTATGAAGGTCATGGTTCAGTGAAGCTCAAGCGATTCTTGACAGAGTGAACAGGATCAGGAGTAGAGGCAGGAACAGGAACAGAGAACACATCATGAACAGAAAAAGTAATTGAACTGTTAAAAAGAAATGCAGGTTTAACTCGGTCAATAGAAACTTTAGTTGGCGAATTATTAATCTTGAGTGTAACAAGTTTATCATCACGCTCGATGATCTCAAATGGGCCCAAGTATGGCGGTTCCAAAGCTTTTAAAAATCTACAATCCTTGAGATAAGCATGTGAACAATCCTTTAATTCTTTGAAAACAAAAATACTAGGATTTCCATGTCTTGAGGCTGGAGATGGACGCAAATCGCTAATATATTTTCTAATATCTGCCAGAAAATCTTGATAATTGCTAGATCTACTTGATCTTGAGTCTGAGCAGAAAAATTCTGAAGGAAGACGCAGAGATTCCCCATAAACTAACTCAGCTGCCGTAGATTTAATATCTTCTTTAAAAGAGGAACGAATGCCGAGAAGTACAAAAGGTAAACAAGAGACCCAGTCAGAATTAGATTGAGCTATGAGCGCCGATTTTAATTGGCGATGAAGACGCTCGATCATACCGTTGCTAGCTGGATGCCAACTCGTCGTGAAATTGTGTTGTATACCAAATAAATTCATAAAATTCGAGAATATATGCGACGTAAATTGCCCACCACGATCAGTGGTAATTACGTGTGGAACGCCAAAACGAGAAATCCAAGAGTCTAACAAAGCTCGAATAATGCATTCTGTCGACGTGGAAGAAATCGGACAGACTTCTGGCCAACGAGTAAAACGATCAATTATCGTGAGACAATACCGAAACGACCGAGAAAGAGGAAATGGGCCAACAAGATCGATATGAATATGCGAGAATCTTTGCGTTGTCGTTTGAAACGTACCAATAGGCGCATGTACATGTCGTGTAATTTTCGATCGTTGACAATCATGGCACGATCTAGCCCAATTACGACAATCTTTATCCACCGANATAATACGAGGCAAGCCAGGTGGTCGAGTTATGCTGGCGAATTCAGATAAAAGATCAGAAAATTCTGACTGAATTTGAATCGTTTTGACACTAGATTGCGAAGAAGACTGAAGCAAACCTTTTGCTTGGAGTCCTGTTATACCATCGATAATTGTTTTCGAATGGCAATCAGGCAAAAGATGATAATGCGCAAGAAAGTCAGACCCGAGGATCGGTATGTCAACGTCAGCTATGATAAATCGCCAAATGAAATCTCGACGTAAACCAAGATTCAAATTGAAACTAATAAAACCATAGGTTTTGATTTTACTCCCGTTTGCGGCGATTAATTCAAAATTCGTAGGAGAACGACGTTGTCGAAGTAAGCCAAATGGAAAGCAACAAAGATCGGAGCCGGTATCAATGAGGAATTTATGCTTTGATGTCTTATCAACGACAAAAAGACGGCTAGACGATGACGTGCAAACAGTTGCCGTCATCACTGATTGCTTTGAAAGTTTTCCGCGAGATCACAAGGAGCAATGCATTTTTTTGCGTCTTTTTGAAATTTCCTATGATACCAGCATAAACGAGAAGACTGATTTAAATTGCGGGAATTCGAAGAAGAAGATTTACTCCGTTGTCTAGGACGATTCGAGTTATCACGAGAGCTGGGCCGAGAACGAGAAGATAAAGAATCTACCTGGCGTTGTAAATTCTCGATGGCTTGAAGAATTTTGTCTTCAAAGGCAGATGAGCTCGATGGTGTTGATGCTGCATGGACGTTGAAAGACGGAGTAACAGGAGCAATCTCGATAATCTTGTCAGCCAGGTCAGCGAGTTTGTCCAAGGTCGTGTCGGACTGACTTGCGAGGATGGCACGGACTGATGACGGCAATCGCTGGAGCCATAGTTGACAAAGGAGGTTATCTTGTACTATAGTAGTACCGGCGAGAGAACGAAGATGACGAAGAAATTGCGAGGGTTTGCGATCGCCAAGGACTTCTTCGCTGATGAGTTGCCGAACACGTTGTTCTTCGGAAGCAGAAAGTCGCTCAATCAACTTGGTGCGCAAGAAAGTGTATGGGTTCAATGCCGGAGGATGCGTGATAATGTCCTCGATTTCGGCTGCCACGCGCGCATCAAGTTGTGACACAATGTAGTGGAATTTTGTTACCTCACTAGTGATGTCAGATAGCGTAAATTGTGAATCTGCTTGGGCAAACCATAAGCTTGGTTTATCGGGCCAAAAAGGAGGGAGCTTGACTGCTACACGATGAACGGCGGCCGGAGCAGCAGGGGCAGCAGCGGCAGCAGCGGCGGCAGCGGCGGCGGCAGCTTCATCCGGTGCAATATTTTGAAGAGGAGCACGATTGTTGCGTAAATTCTCAGCTTCTTGTCGCAAAGCTTCTAATTCTTGCAGCAGTTGATTGTTGCGTTCGCGAAGGACAGCCGGATCTTCGTCACGAAACATGTTCAAAGATGCCGATCAAATGTCAGGAAAAGGTATGAAGTGGCAGGAAGTGGCAGGAAAATCAGGAATCGCCAGTGAAAAAAAGAATTCTCCAAAGCCGGATCGTAGTAGTCGTGGGTCACCAATATATAGAAATAATAAGATATATATTAATATTTCTATTAAATAATTTTATTGAGGGTTAAAGATGTTCTCGTCTCGGAGAGAGCGACTCGAATGCCAGTCTTCTTTTTTCCTTCCTAACCGTCACACTTTGGTAGCTGAACGTAGTTACAAACGAACATTCGACGTTCGCTACACATATATTTCGTGGACGTGGAAGTCGGAATGGAACGAGTTTCGCGACAAATTCGCGCGTAATGCAAGTATATAAATGCGGCGCACATGTACACGTGCGCGGGACAAAAAGTTCATTTAGCATGTAGCGTTGGCATAAAATTAAATCCACCGCGATCGCTGCCTGCTGCGATAATGTAGACCGAGCCTCGCGCGCAAAGAGAAATGAATATTGAAAGAGAATGGGAGGCTATTTTTTACAAAGTTATCGGCGGTTATCGATAGCTGCTTAATTTATGACGATTCGTTAAGGTTGTCCTGTTTTTTTTTCTGTGTTTTGCCGAGTCGAAGTGCAAAAAATGGTTTCGTTGTGTACGTCCGATTCAATCGAAACTATAACGCGAATATTTGCGCACGTGTTTACTCGATAAATACATTCGATTAAATATCTTTCTAAAGTTAATACCAAAAAATCATTGACTAACGAGCGCAATGTCGATTTTTCTCGGTTACAGAGCATAGCCAACGTGATGAAGGACTCGTCGTTCGTTCAACGCTGGGGCCTGAACATGCTGATCCGTCAGACCGACACCAAGCCCATGGTGGCCATGACCGCCAAGGAGTTCATGTTCGGCTACGAGTCGACCCTCGTCACCATCGGCAACAACGTCATGCCCAGCTGGATCAAGTTCGATCGGCTCGGGCTGATCGATCGCATGTACGACTTCGACGGCGACTACGAGACCGTCTACACGGGCGAGACCGATGCCCGTTTGACCGGCACCATCGACACGTATCGCGGCAGCGATCAGCTGCCCCAGTGGACCGGCAAGTGCGCCAACGTCCGCGGCGCCAGCGACGCCACCAAGTTCCAGAGCTTCATCCAGCCCAACGACACGCTGCAGTTCTATCGCAAGAGTCTGTGCCGCAGCGGCAAGCTCATCAGGGTCGGTGAAAAAACCATCAAGGGCCTGCAGGCCTACGAGTACAAGTTCGCCGAGCACGAGCTCGACAACGGCCTGTACAATCCCGACAACAAGTGCTTCTGCAGGCAGGGCAACTGTCTGCCTTACGGCATGATCGACGTTACCGACTGCTATTACGGTAAGTAACGTGGCTCGATAAAAAGCTCGCGTTTCGTTGGTGTAATTTACGAGCTCGCGCCTGAACGCAGGTGATAATTCTTTCATAACGTTGATTGCGGCTATCGCCTAATTGGAGTCGGAATTGTTTGCTGCGCGCGACGTCTTTTTGAAAAAGACACATTCGTGCGAATTACGAAACGATTTACCTGTCGCTCGTTTTTTTTTTCTGCGTCTATCCCTGCTTTTCCTCGCAGTTGAAATGCAACTGTCAACCGTAATCTCTGTCAAAAGCATTAGAAAAACGAAATTCCTCGCAGACGCAGTTTTTTTCTCATCGTCTGACCTTGTTTTTTTTTTCGTTTAATTGCAGGCTTTCCCATCGCTCTGACTTATCCTCACTTCTATCAAACCGACCCGTCGCTTTTGGCCGCCGTCGAGGGTCTCGAGCCCGTCAAGGAGAAGCACGAGTCCTTCATCTACGTACAGCCGAGATCTGGCCTGCCCGTTAATTTGGCTTTCCGTTTCCAAATCAACATGGCTCTGCAGGACATCAGCTCCATCGAGAACGTCGACGGCTTCTCGAATCTCGTCCTGCCTCTGCTCTGGTTCGAAATCGTAAGTACACTTGATCGTGTTATTTTTTCAATGCATTGCCATTTTTCACGAATCAAACTGTAACGATCGACTTGTTTATTTTTATGCAGGCTATGCACGAGCTTCCGGACAGCTTGAACAATCGTTTCTACCTGTACTTAACTGCTCTGCCGGTGATGCAAGACATCGCCATCTACTGTCTGTTCCTCGGCGGCGCCATCTGCCTCATCTGGAGCGTCCTCAAGATCCTCCTCTACAAACCCAAGGCCGACACGGAGATGACTAGCCAGTGGCTCGAGTCCGAGCTCCAGCGCAAACGTCTGAGCTTTTTGCACGAGCGCAGGACATCTGTGAAAATCAGCAAGGAGGCCGACTGCTTCTACAACAGTCTATTGACCGAGGGCTCGCAGACGGAAAAGTCGCAGCAGCAGCAGCAGCAACAGCAGCAACAGCAACAGTTCCAGCAAGAGGAGCCGACGATCATCGACCCGGCACTGCTTCAGGAGCTCACGCGATTACGCGAGGACATCGTTTAATGGCGCTCGAGCTTTCCGACAGAGCGTCGCGTTTGTTTATTTTAATAATTTTTTTTCTTCTTCAAATGCCCAAAGAAAAAAAGCCGAGTGTGTTTTTATTCTTCGCCGCGCTTCGTGATTTCACTACTGTTCTTTCGTTAGCGTAACGTTGTTTTACTTTATATAATTTAAGCTCATTACTTCGCCATTTAAGAATTCATTTGTCTCTACTCGTAATTTTCTCACACTTTTTTTATGGTGCTTTTGGTTTGTAATAACTTCACTCGGAGCATCGAAGCATCAAAGAGAATAATTAACATTATCGTTAAGATTACTACGCGCGTTATCGTTTGTCGCGATTCAGCTTGACAAACGATTCCATCCGTCCATTATTAGAGTAAAATCATGTACATATAAGCAAAAAAAAAACAATTACGAACAGAAGAAATCCCAAAGATTTCATCTAAGTGTAATATTATCATCTTTCTTGTGCTTCAGTGATCAGATCGGTCTCATAGCCGATTGATTGATCGATGGGCAGAAAAAATCTTACTTTCCATTTTTCCCTCTTGTCTCGTGTGTGCTATTAATTTGTTCGTTCATCGTCGTTCGCGTTGTGATTTATTCGCTCTCTATCAATTTTTTGATCGTTTTTTTTTTCTATGACAATTCCGCGGCCAAAAAAAGGAAAAAGATAAAAGAGAATCGCTATACGCTAAACGTAAATCGTATACATTTTTTGTGCACCAAAAGACAGTAGATAATTATTTCACAAGCAGTTGTATGAATTTGAAAATCTCAACTACTTTTATGCATTTTAAAAGTAACTTCGATTAATTTCCAAATGAATACTGTAAATATGTAAATATGCGTTAAATAATAGCTTGTTACTTCAGATACCTGCAATAATTGCTGCTTTTATTTTATAAATAGAAACTGCAATGAGTTAATGGGTCGCTCCAACAATATTGATTATTGGTGTAAAACGAGGTATCTGAAAAAGCATAAGTTTTAATCTGTGCGACTCGAAAAGTCAACTTTGTACCTATATACATTTATGCAGAAAAAAATTATTTTTATGTAATATTTTTAAAATGGGGTCCAGTGATTACAATTAACTGTTTTACAATAAGTAATTAGTTTGTAGATAGACTAAATATTGTAAATATAAACAGTTTACTAGTAGAAAGATTGTTCGTTATTTGTTCTTTTCTCTTTATTTTTCTCTGTGATTTTATGAAGGAATTAATTATTTTCGTTGTATTTGAATAAAAAATGAAAAAGTATTTAAAAATAATTATGAATGTTATGAATATATTATTTCGCAATAATTCAACAAGAACAATTAATGAACATTCAGTGGAAAAATTAAGTTGAGCTCTCTAGATTAAAACGATTTTTGATCATTATGTTGAAATGTTTTAAAAGACTAGGGTTTATCGATAGCATTTAAGTGGATGACAGATTGTTATATTTCGATTATGTTATCAAATTGTGATTTTTCATTCATCGTGATAAGCAATTTTATTCCAGCTTCGCAAAAGTTTTCTTAACCGTGCGAACACCAAATTATATAGGGTGAACAGCTTTACAAAAATGTTTTTTTTTCTAAATAATTTTACGAATAGTATTTAATACTATTCAAACTAGGATAAAAAATAATCGATTATGTAACGCACCTACTATTTTGTTTTATGATAATCCTATGAATGCTCTCTTTCGATTTAATAAATCGGATAATAATCTCTTGATATTTTTTTATGATCAGTCTTGCCAGTTATTGTGCCTTACGTATACGAATGTAAACCTTTGTCATTAAATAAAAAATTTTTTATAATTAAGAGATTTGAAAAAATTATTTTCTCTCTCAACCTGTAAACAATTATTCATTAACTGCAACCGCTTAAAATCAATCTTATCTTTGGATTATTATGCTTATTCAAGATTTACAATTTAAATAAGGTTACTGTAGAAAAAATTGCTCTAACACATAAATTAAACAGTATTAAATGTTTTATTGATTTAATTATTCAAAGTTTAATATGGAGACTACATTTTAATGATCGTCATTACATTGCAAAACTACAATGCACCATAATTCCATAACATCCCTAGGTAGTTGAATATAAGCTAATTTTTTTTTATCTATGCTTTCAAGCTAATGTTCAAAGTTTTGAAAATTTCGTCAAACGTTCGCTTTTTTCAGCATAAGCTCGTATAAGTCGACGCCATCAAATAAATACATGATTATCAAAATAGCAACAAATATTTTCAAATGTTTAATAAAAATTCGCATTTAATAATGAATATGGATATATGATATGTGCATACATTCAAAACAATATGTTCATTCCCGTAGTGTAACGTTATCAAGTACGTTACATTATCACATGCACCCAGTCACACCATTAATATAACCATCATATTTTGTGGTTGTTAATTCATTCATATAAGTATAAAACTATTCCATATAATATCACGTGTCATTTAGTGTGACCAGTTTATACCTATTTTTGAAACTCTACGGTTCTCATACAAGTGAAATTTTCGTTGAAGTAAAAAAAAAATGATTTTATCTATGTCGAACCGCACAATTCAGAAAAATTTCAAGTAGTTATGTGAACACTTAAAGTATGCACGATATTCGAAGTTGATAGCTTATAATTATAATTGCTGAATATCTGTAAAATCAACGTTTTCCGTTTATTGACTAAAATGATTGCAATTTTTTAAATTCATTTGAAACGAAAGCATAAGGCGTCTCACATTATGATAATCTTATATTCGCTCAAATTTAATGATTTTTATTTTAAATGAGTTGATTATTATGAATAATGAAAAATCATCTAAAAGAATTTGTTAGATTTCTATGGGTTTAATGCGCTTTCTCTGCTTTCTCTGCTTTTCGGGAAATTTCGTGAGTTCCATCTCCACGGTTCTTGATGACATTTTCGATCAAAGTTTTGGAGGGTTGTTTCATATCGTACGCCCAGCCAATCTTGGCGAACAAGTCGAGCAAGATGGTGGTGTAGTTCAAGCTGTAATTTCCAAACTCAGATGTTTTGTAATCCCACGGGAAAGTGTGGTGATAATTGTGCCATCCCTCGCCACCGGTGAAGAAGGACATGACGAGATTTTCAGCTGGCATGATGAATCTGAAAGAAGATAATATTTTTGTAAATTCATGTCTGCCTAGGCAAATGTAACTAAAATTATTGATAAAATCGATTAAACTTAATTAATCAAAATTTGTTTGGAAACTTACTTGTCATAAGGATGACCACCAATTAAATGGGCAAAGCTGTTGATACTCCAGGTGCAGTTAAGAGAAAATGCGTATCTCATAAAAGCTTGGGACAAAATAGCGTAGTACCAAGTTTCGTTCCAGCCGTAAACGCAGATGAGAATTGGGATGATGAAGGCAAACAACAGTCTCCAAAGTTCGAAGTATCTATAATGAAAAAATGACGTATAAAAATAGAAAAATATTATATTTCGTAAGTTTTTTGTGATAAAATTCGAGTATTAAGCTAAAGCCTTTCGGTTCTTCAGAATATTGAATCAAAACAAGTAAACATGAGTTCAAAATTCTGTGATAACTATAACTCATCTAATTTATCATGTTATTACTCAAAATCACACGAGAGTGGCAGATAAGGTTGACTGATCGTTTCGACTCGACATCAGCTTAAAACTGTTTTTTTATTTTTTTATTATATTTGAAACGTACTTCTCGCCAATTTGAACCACTGGATCAGCCAGAATGTCACTGACATCGACCATTTTTCCTTTGCGGACAACTTCCGGATGTCTCTTCATGGTCAACCAGCCGACATGACTGAACCAGAATCCACGAGCGGCATTGACGGGATCGGCATCGGTTTCCGAGAACTTGTGATGGACACGATGATCTCTCGACCAGTACAGTGGCGAGTACTGTTGAAAAAAATTAAATTATCGTGCATTAGTTAAAGAAAATTCGAAAGATTGCAGCTAAAACTTGAAATCAAAAAAAAATTCAAGATAAGCACAGCAATTGCCCAAAGCTCGATTATCTAATTTACCTGTCCGGATGACAGATAAGCAATCATGAGGATAACTCGGAGAGGAAGTTTGGCTTTGTACGAGCGATGAGCCCATAGTCTGTGTATTCCTCCAGCGACTCCAAAATTAGCGAGGCAAATCATGAAGATACCTGGAAAAAGCATTAAAGTTTCGGTTTAGCATAAGGCAGTGGAACGACGCACAAATGTTTATTTAATTTTGGCCTCGGCTCGTCTCTCACATACATAACTCTCTCGCGCCATTGTTCAATCAAAAGCCACGATCAATTAGATAGTCGATGAAAATCAATATTTGCCGCAGCGTCTGTTTCAATAATAATTAGTCGCTGATAAATCAGCGACGATCTCGGAGCTTGATATTTCATGTATAATCGAGAGCCTCGCGCGTATCGCAGCGGCTCGAAATCCGCTTGTAATCGAACGATCATATTTTTATTTCCTCCAAACTGAGTATACATTGCACGTGCTCGTGCAATGGTTGAATTTCAAGTTCAAGCGATATCGCGGGCACGCGAGCAGCAACAGGCCATCGTCGTCGCGCCGCGTTTGAGATTTTAGAGAGAGAGAGAGAGAGAGCTGCTGCAGAGCTCGCGCGTAAATTCCGACCGGTAAGTTAGATAAAATAAACACGCGGCCGATAAACACGCGCCACAATGTGCGTGTCCGTGTGTGGCGGCGTCTGCGTTGCTGCTGCTCCGAAGCGGCTGCTGAACACGTGATCACAGGGAGACAAAAGGTAGGGGATGCGTTCCGCGCCGCTGTCGATAAATGTATACGGAGCCGCGTTTGAATAAACGGCCCGCAGCCGCGCACACGCGTTGAGCGAGAACGAGAAAAAGACAGGCGATATATACTTGGGCTCAAGCTCGATACACGTATAGCTCGCTGGATTGGATCGCGCAGATGCATCCACGTAGATACATATATAGTCGTGCGTGTACTTCCTCGAAAAGCCGTCGTCTGTAGCACATACATATCGTCGCCCCAGCGCAAGAACCGCACAAATAAACTTAAGGGGCAAAAACAACCTTATCCCTATGTTAAAAGGATAGGATTAAGGCACCTTTTTGCCACTTGAGTTTATTTGTGCGGTTCTTGCGCTGAGGCGACGATATACATGGGCGGCATCATATATATAGGTATCTATAACGAAAGAATGTTTCGGCCGTTCGAGCGATTGACCACGTAATGCAAAGATGCCGATCGAGCGGCAACAGTCCGCGAATGCACGTACTGCATTTAAAAGGTGCCTCTCGCGCGCACGTAGACGACGACGACGACACTATTTTCGGGCGGCTTCTGCTATATACCTATATGATATATTGCACGCTCTCCGCGAGAGAGAGAGAGAGAGAGAGAGAGAGCTCGAAAAAAATGATCGTGTGCGACTATGAGAGGCTGAGACGTCGTTGGATGCAACACGTCGTCGTTTCGTCTTTGAATCCCTAATGTATGCAGAACAGTTACGCAATGGACTCGATAATTCGTATATACGGCGCGAGATCTCTACGTGACAATGTTATTTGTTATTTTTAGACTTTATTCGACCATATTGCGCCAAACTCGAGCGACGACGCTTGCGACGACGGGCACCGGACGCTACATCTATATTATAATGGTGACAAAAAGTCACCAGTTGCGGCGACATTGCATGGTTGAATTGAAAAAAGACCGCAGGTCCAACTTACTGAAGACGGTCGTGGCTTTCTTCTCAAAGTAAGGGAAAGTGAGAAAGCCGTAGAGTGCCCCGAGGTGGAGCATCACCATGAAGTAGAGATTGAACCACTTGATGTCGGGGCGCTTGTAGAAGGGCATCGCGACCAGTTCCTCGTAGGCCTTGATGTCGGCCTGGATCTTGGCCTGCTTGGCGCGCTCCTCCTCGCTGATCTTGCCCTCGTCCACGGCGGCATCCTGGCTGCTCTCGAACTCGCAGATGTCACGGATTTGTTCGTTTGGCGGCATCTTGATTATCTGTTGATGCACACGACAACACAGAGTTATTACTACGGTTAGACAACAAAAAGGTTACGAATGTAGGGGGGAAATCAGAGGCGCTGACGCGTCATTAGATTGAAATTGGTGGGCCCACCGAATCACACTCGATTACTGCGCTACGCGGCACGGGCACTCTCTACTCGCACTGCACTGTGTATTGTAATGCAACTTACACACGACGTGTCACGCAATAATTGAGCCTGCCTCTGTTGGGCCTATACGCGTAAAGTATACAACGAAGCTAGCTCGGGCGAGCGAGAAGAGAAAAGAAAGGATAGAAAGCAGAGAGAAAAGAGGACGAGTCGAAAAAAGGATTTTTGGCTACGCACGTCGTACAGAAAGTTCAAATGGCGACGACTATATAGGTATGTGTACTGTGCCGCTGCGTTGCTGCTGTGCTGCTACTGATCAGCGACTAGCGAGCGTTGTACAGCGTGCTTATAACGGAGCAAGACTGCAGACAGGGGCACCGACGACGACGACGACGACGACGACGACTGACTCTGACTCGCTCGCTCTTTCGTTCCGTTGTTGGCGCACGCACGGGTGAACTTACACACGAGCGCGAGCGAGTGAGAAAGAGAAAACAAAAAAAAAGTGGTGCGCGCGCGTTGCTTAGAGAGAGAGAGAGACTTTTAGAGTTGCTGCTGCTTATGCTGCTGCTCTGCCGAGCATCGAGTCATCGGCACCACCACACGCATACATACGGACATTTTCACGCGCGCAAGCAGCGCAGCGCATGTTAATGTGTATGTACATTACGATTACGAGTACACACACAAACATCGATAGACGACGACGCAGACGTCGCGAGAGCCGAAGAGAGCTGCGCGCAACAGCGCCGTTTTGAGCCGAGAGCCGGGAGAGCCGCAGCTATATTAGCTTTTCGGAGTTATGTAGCATCTATTACACCTATTATACATGTAACTATAGTCAGATGTATACAATGGCAGCAACAGCAGCATTTGAAAACGTGCTCGAGATGCTGACGTCGATGACGTTTCGTCTGCGTGCGTCTCTCTCTCGCTCTGGCTGCTCGCCGAAGAGTTTGGGAGCAAAGTCGTCTGCGCCGGGATTGGTGCTGGTAGGGCCGCGTGACATTTAGGATAAACGTACGATAATTTCGATAGGTGTAAGTTGACTGCGAAACTATCGTTTATTCCTAGATATACTCTATGACTGCGTAATGTATGTACAGAGACTCGTCGTGGTTATGCTCGCTAGCAATGATCCATTCGTTCTGCTACAGAATTATATACGTAACGTCTATGTAGTTAGAATAGGTGCAGATAAGGTGCTAACGTCGGATAACGGATAACCGATAGGCAAAACGAGCCGCCACGGCCGTATGTCGTAATTAGAACCGAAGTAATATTTCAAATACTTCTATAGCTTTAGGTAATTTTTTTCATACCAGCGGCCCGAAAGTGAATACTTCCCTGCTGCTGCGCAAAGCGGGAAGAGTGATTTTCGGGCCACTGTGTATGAAAAATAGTATACAGGCCTATGTCGCGAAAAAAGAAAGCCCCATCAGAGCACGTATTTATCGGCCTCGGCTTCGCCTCGGCCACTAATTACACATACTCTGGGACTTTTCTGTTTTTCGCGGCCTAGGGCAGTAATATACTATTTCTTAAAAATTCATCGCACGTAATGTGCTCTGCCTCGTTGCATATTTGTCATCGGCATTTAAGTACCACACACAAACACTCACACGTGTCGCGCGCCGAATTTCCTGCTACTGTGTGTGCACTTGTCGATCTCGTGCACGCGGCAGTGGTAGTGACATACATTATTGTAATCGTGGCATCGCGTGCGGCACTCCAGTCTGAACTGCAATTCTGTTAAGAAAGAAAACCGCACGATCGTGCGTTTTTAACATTTTTTCAAACTTATGTGCGGCATTAGAGATTGCACGCACATGTAGTTCACGAATCACAGTGGCGCACGATATCTCGAGACTTTGAAGCATTATATTTTTCAATGTCGCGCGAGCTCGCGTGAATATCAATAAATGGTAGTAGCCTATACGTCGCGCAACGATACGGGACATTTACAATAAAACCCGGAATAACTAAGAGAGAGAGGAAAGAAAAAGCTCTCGAGTCGCGAACGAACGGAGAACGAAGCGTTTACGAACGTTACGTTGTTTTCTCTCGCATACATGCAAAGGAATTAAAATGCCAATCGACGATGCGAGATGCTCTTCCTCCGCAGCAGCGCGTGTCACCTCTATGCGTCCGCCTGCCGAGTCATCCTCTTAATAACTTTTCGCACGTGGATCTTACGTGGTCGTATCCGAATTATTTGCGCGTGCCCCCCGAGATTCAAGATCGCGTGCATGAACTACTCCCGAAATCCAGCTACACACGCACGACTCCGACTTTCGCATATATATATATAAAGTCTCTCCAATATATATGTAGGCAGCAGGCATTCGAGGGGGAGGGGCGCAACCTTGCCACACTGCACGCAATGTCATCATGCGTATACCGATCGTCGGATCGGACTAACGCACAGGTGGTGTTGCTCGACTTTCTCTCAGCACACACATATGATACGAGCCATTATATTCTATACATATGATATAGCTTTCTCTCTCGTCTCTCGTTACGAAGAAGCTTAAATAATAATCGATCGGGGAGCACGACTCGAGTTCCTGTATGTATGACTGATCGACCTATAACACCGAGCAAAGTGCAATGAACTTGGGAAAAATTATATACTTATTGTTGGACGGCAATTCCGTCGGCGCAGAAAGTGGCCAGTCATCGCATTTCGTTTCGTGTGCGTCTTGTGTTATATTATTGTAAAGTGCGCGTCTGCCGCTGATTTCATTAATCATGAAATTGATGAGATTAAGCTGCGTTTAATTAGCGCGAAAACTCCGCCGCCGACGATGCGTCGATTATTAAGCGATGATGAAATACAATTGCAAATGAGCGCACGCGTGCCCCGCGCGTATCCGCGCAGCTCGAGGCGTATTTATACGAAGACATTTTTCCATAACAATAATATTCCGAACGATTTATACATTTATAATATTATCATGATGCCGATCGACACCGACGCGTGACTCGACTTTTGGAGCATCGATACGGCATTATAAGCCGCCGATGCAGCTCTTTGTAATCGTCCCAAAACAATGAGCAACGTTTCTCCAACGATCTGCACTGCGCAGCGATTAATTTTCATCCATATATTCGATCGCATCGTGATCGAAATTCGCGCGCCAATCGCACTGCAAATTTTTCATTTTACAATTGTGTTTTTGAATTCAATGTGTATAGACGTGAGCACGCACGACAATCGATCGCCGCTACGGCAATGTATGCCTCGTTTATAATAATGGATTCGGCTTAAATACCGTTTTCGACGTAAATAATTGTGAGAAAATGTGTATTCGACAACGTCTTTTCCTGCCTCGGTCGTCTTTGAAATTAGCATGCAAAAAATACGAGGATAGACACGTTTTTTCTTTGTACGCATAAGCAGCTATACTATATTCGGCCCGGCGTGCACGTGACGCGTCAATTATACAGTTGCAATGATAGACAATAACATCGGCGCTATATAGTTGCTTCTTCTTCGCTGCTACTGCACTGCTCTATAGACGTCCGGATTATGTGCGCAATTCAAAGTATAGGCAAAAGAAGTATACGACATCGGTCGGAGGTGAGGCGCCGCCGCGATCATCGGCATGATTACTGTTCTATTCGCGGGAATGAAAATTGAGCCAATTAGTTGGAAAGAGAGTTGGAAAACTTGGATCGTAAATATCGAAGAATTTCCATTGTAAACTCATCGTCTTCCCAACTGTTTGTTCGACTCTCGCGCTCGTTTATATATTGACTCAATGAATAATGGAAAAATGTGGTCGACCTTACCCGAGGTAGTTTTCTACGTCTAGTTGTAGCGGACATGCATTTTTCCCTATATTCAAAATAATCCTAATTTAAATACGAGGAGGAAATTTCATTTGTAACTTGGAAGACAAAAGAACGATTAGAAATTAAAAAATTCTATATTTAAATATTTTTGATAGAGGGACAAAAAATGTATTAAATCTTAATTCGAGTTTCTCTAAAAAAAGTGTGCAAAAATCGAAATCTAAACTCTTTATTTAAGCTTTGTAGATATAATGATTCACGATGGTCTTAAATCTAATTGACACAGATCATAATGCATTAGGCCATTATAAATCTCTCTCTGCACGTTCAACGTGTCAACGAAATTATGAATAATTCATAGCGTCTAGAGTGACGCGATGGCTAACGAAAATGTAAAGTTTGCCTTTCGAATAACAAATAATTTAAAACATAGTTGGGGAGAGAAAAAGTTTCAAAATATCGTGAATACTGAATAAAAACGCCGGTATCTTTCCGCTTTTTTTCCTTTTTTTTTCGCGAATTTTTTTATCATTTCCCTCCAAAAATTTATCGATTCCGTGCAGGGAAAACGAAGCTGCACTGAGTCTTACTCATTTACACAAATAGCAAAGTTTAACAAGCTTAAAAGATACAAGTAAAAAATTGCCGATATAAGCACTACTACTTTTGCCGATTTCGTTGTTCAACATTTTATCATTATTTTAATTATTATTTCCCGACCGTGTCACGTGATTAAATCATGACAATAAGTTCGACGATGTGCACTCGATGAACTTAGTCATTGAACATTACGAATTATTCCAATGGTTACGATAATCTAATTGCATTTATCGGATATTTTTTTGGTATTTGATTTTCTTCAAGAGATAGGTCATTTTTTCTTTCTTTCACAATTCAGCACAAACTATGTCAAATAAGGAAAGAAAACCATTTCTATATTTTTTTGCAATGTGGCTTACACGTGATATATGAAATTAAAGTCTGAGCAAATGAATGTCTTTTTATGTTCTTCAATAGTAGTATTTATATTAATAAAATATCAATTTACTGAAACTGTTCAGAATGGGTGATAAAGTTAACGGAAATGAAATATCATAATCAATTGAAAACTGCAATTCTATTAAAAAATATGAATTCAAGTTCAAACATTCATTCATATAAGTATTGAATGTATCTTTCAATTGATTAGAATTATCAATGTTTTTAAATACATTCTTGTTTTTTTTACTATACTACTTGAATTTCAAACACTACAAAAAGTTATCATTGGTTTTTTATCCGAAGAGAAACAAATCTTGTTTGACACGGAAAAAATAAAAATCAATTACACATTTTAAAAGCAATTAATTTTTTAATAAATCGTGTCATCGCACCAACTTCAGACCATGCGAATTATCAACTTGGATTGAGATAAAAAAGTACGAATTAAAGGTAAAAATTATAGTATTGCGTTTAATTAATTTTAAGATGAGTGATTATATGATCATTTCTTCGAGTCCCATTACATTTTGTAAATCGAATGAAATGTCCATAGCATACGAGTAGCTTTTGTGATATTGACTTTCAAAAAATGAACGTTTTCAAATCGACCGAGAAATCGCAGTGCATCCCCGACATATGTCGTGAAATCTGAACTCCCAAGATAAAGTAAACAATTCATGGTACTTACCACAGCGTTGGAATATTCGATGCAATATCACTCGCGGTGTTGAAGTGAAGCGTTTGCAGTTTTTTTTTTTCAATATCACGCCAAGTGACGAGTTAGTAAGCAGCTGACACGTCGCGCAGCAGAACAATGATTTTTAAGTTTAAAAGTGTTAAATTTTTCTTTTATTCATTTGGTTTTTTGAATCAGCCCGTAAAAAATGAGTCATTTTGAAGGTAATGAATTGAATATATAATAATAAAAAGATTACGATAGATAATTCAAAGCAAAAAATGAAAGTAAAAGTTTAAATTGATTTATTTGGTGTTGTCTTACAATTGATAATACTTAATAATTTTATACCATTTTAAATTTTATAATGCAATGTACAATTGAAGACAATAATTTTGGTAAAATTATATTATTGGAAAGAAAATAGTTATATTAAGAAATATTTTATTTAAGCTATTTTAACAATAGTAACAGGGCTTAATACCCAATATATAATACAAAATGTAAATACAGATACAACATATATAATCTATTACATAAGCATGAATAAACCAGAATATAGCATTTATCATAAAAATTAAAATTTTTTCAACATTGAGTTGAAATATAAAACGCAGTATTTTGCAGATGATGAAACAATCTTGATAGTCATATTTTAACTGTAAGGATTGTACGTTGATGGCAGAGGCGGAAAGCTTCCATGAGGTACAGGCATTCCCCCTTGATTTGAAGTTGGGTAGGGCAGCTGCTGACCACCAGTGGTAGGTCGCGATAAGGTCATCCTTTGCATTCCAGCAGTTTCATCTGGCACTTGATTGTCGACGCTCAGATTGTGCGTTAAATCTTTCAAAAGTTCTTCTTTTTCAGTTTTACGCGCAAAACAATAATCGGAAATTTTGCTTTGGAATATTATCAACAATTGTGTCAAATCATTATAAAACTTGATTCCTTCTTGCAGATTGCCTTTTAATTCAATGAAAACATCATAAGCTCCGGCTAATTTGCAAAGCATCATCTCGCGAGTACTACCACTATTTTGTTGCTCTCTTGAAAATTCTCCATGTTTTATTTGGATGGCCTTGATTAAATTTTCTTGTTTTTGAAGTGACCTAGCTACTTGCTCTTTTAGAGAAGAATAGTATTTATCCAATGTTCCTACAACCAAGCTACTTTCATTTTCAAGTTCTCCATTTACCAAAGCTTGAGTAAATATTGATTGAGAGTCAATACTTTTAGATTGTAATTCATTTTCAATAGCATCTTGTTCTGCCTTAAGAGTTGCAACACTTTCCATTAAACTCCTCAATTCATTGACAGCTCCACTTTCTGTAACAGCTGCTCCAGTAGGAATATGGTGTGCCAAAGTATCTGGAGCCATACATAACAAACTTATTGGTTCCCGATGTTCATTATATTTTTCTTTAATAACTTTATCAGCATTTTTAGCATTATTTATTATTCCCCGATACTTTTGAGAATTCAACCTAAATTGCTGTGTAAGCCTTGTACTAGGTAATCTTGTCCAACGCTCCTTAAATTGAGTCCTTAAATGATCATCTGATGATTGTTCATCATTAAGCATTCTTTCAGCCTCATTGAGAATATCATCATTTCTTTGCAATAAATCTGGTAGTTCATTCATCATTTTTTCTAAAAATTCGATACCACCAGCATTACGAATTGCTACTGCCTTTTCTTTCACAGATTGAGGAATTTCAGTTCCACTAACATCTTCAATAGCGGCTGGGAGATTAAGACTAGCCAATGTTCCATTTAGAAGTTGTCTTGCATTACGCAATTTGGCAACTTCAGAATTAACCAAATCACGCTTAGCAGACTCAAAATTATTTATAGCTTGATAAACAGTTGAAGGCAATAACTCCTGGAAAATATCTAGAAAATCAGAACTGAATTTTTCAGGAACTGGTGAAGGTTTAGCAATAGCTACTTTATCGATTGGTGATAATTCTTTTGCATCTGGTATTCTTTCATGATATATGAAATCATTATCTTTTTGTACTTCCGTTAATCTTCTGGAAGCCTTATCACGATTATCTTCAAAAAATCTTAGTTTGCTTGACTCATGAAGCGCTGAATTGAACAATTCTATTGCAACTTTTAGTCTGGCGATTTCTTCACCAATTTTGTTATTTTTTTTACATACTTTCGATTGAGTGAATTCAGCTAATCCTTTATATCCAAGTTGCTTTGCTGTAATCAGATGAATCCAATCTTTATCCCAAAATGCTCTGAAAATTTCTTTTTGCATTAATTTCAAAGTATTAAAATAGAATTCTTCTGTTTGAGCTGCTAGTTTAGCAATAATAGTATCTTTCATATTATCATGAATGGCTTTAAAGGTAAAGATTTCATTTGCTTGTGCAAGCATCAGCGATGCAAGTGCTTCAAGAGTTTCTGGACGCAAGTCAGGCGTTGGCTCTGAATCAATGATACTCATAACACTACCTTTGAATGAGTTTAAAATTCCAGCTGCAAGTTGTAACAGCTTTGCAGATAGTTTTAAGCCCTCATCGTTGTCTAATGGTTGAGAGACTGCAATCATACTTTGTAGAGCTGCAATATTAAATAAAACACAGACCTTTTCATAACCTAAGCCAAGAACAGTGAGGCTTTGTTTTCCACCAAAGGCATTCTTCCATTTGAAAGGAATTTGCAATTCATGAGAAGGTATTTTTTTCTCCAATACGCAAACTTGATCATAATATCTGTATAGGATCTCCAGGGCGCTTTCGCTTTTTTCAAAAGCTTTCCACAAGGCATTTTTGCGTAGTTTGCTAAAGCTTTCAACGATGTCTGAGTAATCTTTCTGGCCTGACGTGCCACTGTAAATAGATTTAAAGGCGTTCAGCAGAGGTTTGGAGACGTCGATGTCAGATGCTTTTTTCAAGGGGATGTAGATCCACTCCGTCATTTTTGCTTGATTAAACGATACAGCTCACTGTTAAACAGATCACAATTAATTCAAAACTGAAATTATGAAAAATGAATCGTAGCAGCAAATTTACCGATTAACATTAACCGACACCACTTAACAACGCATGACTAATACCATCGTGAGAATAATAAGAATACGTCGTAACACGCCAACACGGAACGAACGCGCGAATCGCGAAAATAAATCAGGTGTTCCAAAGTGACAGACCGGAGTGCGCCAAATTTAAAATTAAGCGCAGTGACTGGTCTTTTATAGCCCAACTAGATTTTGATTTTTTTTTCAAGTTGGAAAATTATAGATCATAATTTTTTATGAATTCTTAAATTTAAAAAAATTAGACACTTTTTTAAAAAAACACGAGGACTTGATGCATTTTATTTTTCTTCAGTGTAAATTCGAAAAATAGCATCTGTTAATAGTACATGAAAAAATTTACAATATTTATAATTATATAGCGTCTACGATGTATGGTTATAAAAAATATGAACAGCTTGTACCTGTTCATCTACTGTTTTCCATTACTTAGATTTTCATGGTGTGATGATAACAAAATATAATACATTTTTTTAATAGTTTTCACAATCTGAATAAACATTGATTACGTGGCGTCACATGTTGATTTCAAAACTTATTAGAAATCACAAACACAATGAACTAAACATGATTTACGAAGAATATTTACATACACTTGAAAATTATTGAAAATTTTCGAGTTTGTAAGAGCTTTTAGTATCTAAAACTTATAACATTTTTTTGTACTGTTTCCTACATAATAAGCAGTTGTATTTACATGAACGTTAATATTTACAATGCAAGTACACTCTCATCTGTTCAATTTTTGAGATACTTTTTTGATTTGATTCTTCTGACGGCTAAATCCCGTATTCTCTCTGTATCTGTAACGATGCAAACAAGAAACAAGTTATTTATTTTTGTGTAGATGAATTTTGTAAAATTAAAAAGTAATAATTACCATATATTTTTTTTTCTAATACATCCAAATGAATTTTTCGAAAAATATCTTTAAATTTAGAATGATCTGGTATGTACTCACTAATGTAATATTCTTGTACTATCGGTTTTAATATGTAGAAAGTTTTTCTATGAACTTTTACAGATTCAGGGGATTTAGTTGACGCTTTTTCATGAGGCATCTTTGGACGTTTCGATTGTTGTGATGATTCATTAGGGTCTTCAGTTTCTTTTATATCTGAATAGGAACGTTTATTACGCTTCGAAGTATCTGCATTTTTATCCAGTAATTTTGCTCCTTTATCAGAAGCTTTGTGTATACTTTTATCCAGTAATTTTGCTCCTTTATCAGAAGCTTTATGTATATTTTTATCCATTAATTTTGCTCCTTTATCAGAAGCTTTATGTATATTTTTATCCAGTAATTTTGCTCCTTTATCAGAAGCTTCATGTGTATTTTTATCCAGCAATTTTGCTCCTTTATCAGAAGCTTTATATGTATTTTTATCCATTAATTTTGCTCCTTTATCAGAAGCTTTATATTTTTGGTGATTATTACTCTGACTGCTTCCGTCTGGGCTGCTTGGGCCAAAAAGATCGGTATAATCTGAGGCTAACTTACATTTAGTAGGAACTTTTAATTTGAACGTGCTAGATTGATTTTTTCTAATGTTTTCAACTTTAAATTTATTTTCTATCGTTGATTTTTCGGCAATTTCTAATTTATTAGTAGAGGATCTTTCATCAGTTTTTAAAATGTCGAACTCACTTTTTTTATATTCATATTCTTTTGATGATTGTAGTATATCTAAACTTTTTTCTTCATTCTTTACTGTTACCATGGTACTCTCTTTTGCTTTAGTTGATGATGAATTTGATTTTTCTGAATTAGTTTTAAAAAAATCTGTAATTGACCGAGAAATGGGCTTTTTTTTGGATTTTTGCTTGTTTTCAGTTTTGGAATTTGAAATTTGTAAGGCTGATTTAAAGCTATCACAACCTGCTGGTATAACTTTGATTTTTTTATTTGACATGCGAGTTTCATCAGAAAATTCTATTTTTTGTTCAACATTCATTGAATCTGCAAAACTTTCACACGAATTCTCAACAACTTTATTGCAATGCAAGGAAGACACATTTTTTGTACTTAGATAAGAATTATCTTTCTTTGAATATTTCATTGTTTCTGGAGATGTTGGCTCAAATTTGATTACATCTTTTTGCAAAGATGATTCAAAACAATCTTTATTTTGATTTTCCAACGAATATGTAGGATTGTCTCTTTTAAATTGCAATGCAGTTGTAAAACCATTTTGATTCATTTTAGTCATTGATTCGGAAAGTGAGAATTTAGATTCACTATCTTCACTTTTTAATGTTTTCTGCATACCATTGCTAAATGATATTTTGGATAAATCATCATCTTTTTCAGGTATTTCTGAAGATATATGATCAGAAATTTGTTTATTTCTACTTTTTTCCATTTCAAATGCCGTCATAAATCCTCCACATTCTGGGCCATCTTTTTTTATATTTAAACAGCTAGCACTCTCTTGAATTTTGTTTGAAACTTCAAGGCATGGTTTTAAATCATTGCATAGCTTGTTATTTTTTGTTGCTGCTTGAATTTGTGTTATCTATTTAAAAATAAATATAGTTATTATAATGTTTGTTTTTTTTTATTTTTTTTAATGATTCATCTAGAAATACCTTTTGTGTCATTAAGAATCTATATCTTGAAATAGCTATTGTACTGCAAATAATACTATATTCAATTTTACAGGCTTTTTGAACAATATCATTTTCATTAAAGTATTCTTTACATTCACTAGCACAAGTTTGATAATTTGTCCATAGACATGAATGAATCTTGTCTACAAAGAGTTCTCGAACCTATAAAAGTAATATGCATAAAAATTGCTATTCTTATTTTGAGTGAAAATATAAATGGATGAAGCTTACGCTAACTGTCAATCCCTTAATTTTAATATCAGTACTTTCAGCTGCAATAACACGGGCTTCTTTTGCTAATTCCAGATTCATTTTTCTAATCTACAAAAGTTCAAGGAAGTTATGTCTTTGGACTTTAAAATATTTGTTTGCAGATATTTCTTACGTCATTTTCTTTTGGTTTTCCACCCCCTCGTGCCTTAAACTGATCTTTTATAAGTTGTTTTTCTTCAGCTTTAGCTTTTTTTTCCAGCTGTTCCCTACTTTCTCCATATCCTCCATCATCATCATCGTATGATCTAAAATTTTCAATTGCATATTATATATAAAATAAATATTAAAATATATTCATTAAAACATCAACACAAAATTATCAATTTACCCCTTGTCCATCCCATCATATTTGTCCAAACCAAAACTATCTAAGTGGTCATATTTTCTAGCTCTTGGTTTATTGAATTGTTGCGAACCCTCAAATTTTGAAATTTTTTCTTTAACGGCATCTTTACTTTTACAAACATCACATTTGTCTATACATTTAGGGTCTGGATCTCCAAAGTATTTTGAAAAAAGAGCATGTCGACATCTGAAAAATTTTTTCCAAATATTAGTGTTTAAAAATAATAATTTTCTCATATGTAGTTAATAGTAAACATACTTTGTTCCAGTAAAACTATCAACAATTTGTTTGAATGATTTCAATTTATTTTGCTGGTACTCCTGACGACTTTTAAATTGAGATGTGTTCATTTCTTCATCAACAGAATTTTGACATAGAAAACTAATTGCATTGTATTCTTCACGACTAAAGTATACCCTGCAATAAGATTTCTTCCCATCTCTACCTGCTCTTCCTGATTCTTGATAATAACTAGCAACAGTTTGAGGCACAGTCCAATGACAAACAAATCTAAAAGATTATATTGTTTTTTCATTAACTTTTCAACCATCTTGAATTAAAAACAAATAATTACGATAGATTTAAAAAAAAGCATACCTAACTGTTGCTTTATCAACACCCATCCCAAAACTACATGTAGCAGCAATAACAGAAACTATTCCAGAGGTCCAAGAGTCTTGGACTTCAATTCGTTCTTTACTTTTTAAACCTAAAATGATGATTAAGAATTTTTATTATTATGATTAATATTTACAATTTTTTTCTAGATAAAATGTATAAAGAACCTGAATGATAAGCTAATGTTTTAATTCCCATTGAAGTCAATTTCATTGCCAAAGTTTCGCAGGTTTCTTTTTTTCTACAGTAAATAATTCCACAATTTCTTTTATCCTATAAATAATTTTTGTTATTAAAAAATGTTTGAAACATATTACCTTTCTATTTAAAAAAATGTTTGAAATATCACCTTAGGTAGTGAATCACTATGGGAACCAAGAGATTGTTTTATAAATTGTTTTAAATGTTCCAGAGGATCAGGAATAGAATCAATGAAGAAAACATCATAAAATAAATTTGATCTAAACACTGGTACAGTAAATACTAAAGGTTGATCCATTTTCAAAGTTTTGAAAATATCTGCTTTGACCTATTTATGGTAAGGAAATAATCAATTTTTTTATAATAAAATGGTTTCAATACACGAATATAAAATTACTTCTTTGGCAGCAGTGGCAGTTAGAGCAATTATTGGTACTTCTGGTCTTTTGTCACGCAACTGAATAAGCTTTCTATAACTGGGCCTAAAATCATGCCCCCATTGGCTAAGACAATGAGCTTCATCAATCACAAAATAAGACAATACTTTTGGCTTAATTTGACACAACAAATTCTAAAATATAAAGAGATATAAAAATTATTCAATTGACATTGCAAGAATGTTTACAGAATTGTTACATACCTGAAAAGATGATGTATCGCATAATTCAGGAGTTACATATAACAATTTCATTTTTGGCTTAGATGATAACATATCACTTTTTATGGCTTGTCTCTGAGCTTTGGGTGTTTTGCTGTTAAAAGCTTGAGCTGAAATGTTCTTACTTGTCAAAAAATCAACTTGATTCTAAAATAAATTAAAATCTTGAGTATTGGAGTCATCACTTTAAATTAATGCAAACAAAATTTAACCTTGACAAGTGCGATTAAGGGTGAAATAACAATCGCAAAAGAATTTTCTCTCGCGACCGCAGGTAGCTGAAAGCATAAGGATTTTCCAGATCCTGTTGGCATGCAGATGTAAACATCCTTTGTACCTAAAAACAAGTGGTTTGTGATCATTATTGCATTTAGTGAACATAGGCTTTTTTTGTCATTAAAATGAAATCCATGGTTTAAGTTAACACAGCAATAAAAAAAATAGTGTTTTCAAATGATTTGAAATTAAAATCCCGTCTTCGGGAAAAGTGCGAAAATAGTCATGATAACCTACCTTTGTAAACAGCTTCCGCGGCTTTTCTCTGCAAATCGCTCTTGTAATCATTGTGCCCAAAGCAACTTTTTAACTTTGCTTTCAGTCTTTCTTCAGAGAAAATTTCTTTGCTCATTTGGAAAATGTATCAAAAAAAGAATAAATTAGGCATAAGACACTCGTAATTTCACGATTCGAAGCGCTATTTTAACTTTCAAGTATCCCCATATAGAGAAATGGGTAGTAGCTTAGCATAGCATATTAGCATGACAACAAAAGCACGATTCTCTGCGATCAGCTGGTGCGGCGGGTACACACAAGCGCTAAAAGTGTGCGTAGTGAATGCATTGTTCACAAATTTCAATTATGTAACATAATAGTTAATGCAAATTCATGTAGACGCACTGAATTTTACTCTATTTTGTTCGAAATACTTGTTAAATAGTACTTGTTCAAATAGTTTATTTATGAAATAAAAAAAATGCACTGTGTTATGTAATAACGAATGAAGCATGTTTTATCATTATAATTTTATTTTAAGAGAAATGTAACTTTGAAATTTAAATAAACTGATAAACTGAAAAGAGAAATATTAATTAGAAAAGTTTTTTTCGATCCACTGAATTATTTAACTGTTACAGTGAAAATATTTTCATAATAATATTTCATAATATTTCTGTGGGTTTTGTGTTCAAATATGTAAAATAAATAAAATAATGTTTTGTTTTTTTTACTTTTTTTGTTTATTTTTAATTTTTTTTATAAAAAAGTATGTATTTCTGACAAATTTATTAATAAGTATAAAATGATTCGATATAATTTACGCAGATCATAGGCTATTATTGTTACTAGGCTTATCTTTTATCAAAATCAACTTTTGATGTGCTTAATATATCATGATATTTATTTACAACTAAAGATGAGCAATTGTTCTGTGAAGAATTTACAATAAAAATGAATCATGAATACAAATTAAAGCTTCTAAAACGAAGCCCATTTCTGTATGTTTTAAATTATAACTTGGTAAATGTGTTTCTGACCGAACACATTAATTATAATACTATAATTTTCATTATTTGAGAGTGACATGAGAAATTCTCGTTTATCACATTTTTCGTGTAAATCTAAGTAAAGATAATTATTGATGTCGCCTTTTCAATATTAATCTCATATCATTTTAACACATATTCCATACAATTCGAAACTACACTCAAACACACAATAAAAGATACAAACAGTTGAAATTTTCAAAGAGTGAGATCTTCAATCTTTTACTTATAATAATAGAATATATAAATTGATTTAAATCATTTCATTAGTTATTTTTTACACATTAATATCTCCATAAATAAAGTGAAGAATTGATTTTTTTGTACTTTTCTCTATCTCTTATGGTCACATTTAATTACAATAATAACGCATTATAAATACTAGAATTGATTGTTTTATCTTGCACGGTAAGATAATAAATCATACAGTCTTCACACATAACAAGTTCATTAATTTTTCGAATATCAAGTTTTTATAAAAAAATTTTTACAAATCTGATTTTTAATGAACATGAGAATTTCATAATTTTTCGAAAAATGATTTCAGTATCTAAGATTTTTATTCTCGAAGAATAATGTAGTCATCAGATTAATTCATTTTAATTATTTTTTGTTGCTATACTTGTCATAACAGCACCTTAAGAAAGTTAACAAAAGGTTATTAAAGCAGTCATTTGATTGAATGATGTTCTTAATAGTCATTGGTCCAAATTCAGCCGTTATGTACAAGTTTAAATAAGAAAATGCATTATAGTCGAAACGCAAAACTAAATTTTTTAAATATTTTTGAGACTAGCACTAGTTTTTTTAGCAAATCATTTGCCAATTAAAAAACACTATTACTTTCAATGATTTAATAAATCAAACTTGAAAAGTAATAGTATATACAATATACCTAGGTGTCATTTGAGTGTCTTTCTCTAATTGCAACAATATTTTAATTTTACTTAAACATAATCATCTAAGAAATTAAATATTACAATACTATAGTAATTTTTTTGCACTTTTTCAGAACGCTTGAAGAAGGTAGGAACAAGTCATAATCATAATTAGATCCATATCTAATTATGACCTTGTTGCACATGAATAGAATATTTCTTTTTGCGATTCTTTTTTTACATTGAGATTATAATCGATACTAATAAACTTTCTTTTTAGAATTTTTTCTTATTAATTTTTTTTTTCGATTTCATCTTAAATAATTTAATCTTTTTTTGACTTTTATGTATACGCATATGTATATACACATATATTACTTTTGGTTATAGTAAAATATTAAAATAACGTAGTGGATATTTAATTTGGAAAACCAAACCCAGCTGTTTATCACAATATTCATTTAAAAGATTTTATCACTGTTTTTAACTTTTAATTCTTGTAAATCACAACGGTAGCATTACTGCTAATTGCTGTGAATCTATTTCAATTCAATTTCTAAACGCTCACTAATTACGAAGTAACGTAATACACTACTTTAACAAACCCAATTTTTTTCCCAAAAATTTTCCGATCCACTTGAAAATGTTCAGAACGTTATTCTTGACCAAGTCCTCATCGATGCGGTTGGCATGCCATCGTGAAGAGTGTCATCAATTCAATGGCGTTTGTGAACTCGTCGACGAGAGAACTTAAGGCTTTTTCTAAAATATCAACAAAATTTAATCAATTTTCGTCCAAAATAATTTTTGCTATCGAATAGCTCTATCGGTCGTTTGACTTCAGAACAATATTCGGTTATCGCAATTTCATTATCTTTCTGAACGTACCTGGAGTAAGTTTTGGGTTTCGGTGGAGGATTCTCCTCGATGGCTTGCAGAGTGGTTTCAAACTTTTTCAAGGGTCTTAAGATTCTTTTCGGTGGATGGCCAACTTTCCAGACTTTTTGTTGGCAATACAATGTACGTCCTTGTTCGTGGTATGAATTTAAGGCAGCAGCTACATCGTCCTTTACAACTTCATAAGCTTCTTTCGTAACCTGTAATATACGAAATAAAATTAATAAAAAATCATGATCAGTTAATTTGGCATGAAATATATGAACTATTATACTTACACCAAAGTAGTTCAAAAGGTACTCGGGGAACACATTATTCATAATGTACCATATTTCTTTTAAATTAGATACAACTCTCTCGTACTGATCGACTATTATGGTCGGAGCTCCTTTGGCGATTTGATGATTCTTTAGATATTGATCGCAAGAATAATTGATGTACAAAATAAACAGAGCCAACGTTGTCAATGATGGATCGGTGCAGACGCATTTGTCGTCCAAAAGTAGCCATTCCATTCTCGATCTCAAATCACTGTGCTGTAAAGTGAAAATTCATTAGTTCATCTGATTATGAGAAAATGTTAGGTCGAGTAACAGATAAATAAATCGATGCTTACCACTAAGAGTTTTCCGATGAACGGCTCATAACCGTATGAGCTCAGTATATTGTCGCAAATTAATTCATAATAAGTGATGAAGTCGTATACGGTCGTGGGTAATTCGGATTCCAAGTTGAGTTTCGTCGTGAGCAATTTGATCATACGCTGGACTTCGTTGTGCGAGCAGTGGTAGTTCGCCAGTTGGATCACGCGATCGATGTCGACGGGCTCCTTGGAGTACAGCGAGGCCGCCAGGGTGAAGGACGCGACGCCGAGAATCTCCAGATGTCTGGTCTTCACCATGGTTTTCGTGAGAATGAGATCGACGAAGTTGACCGCGGCGCAGAGAACCTGCGAGCTCTGATCGAAAAACACCTTGAAGTACTTGAGCGATTGAACCAGCCCATGGCGATCGGCGTAGCTGACGTAGCCGTGGGGCTCGAACTCGGTTGACTGAGTCAACGCCAGTTTCGGCGTGAACTCCACCGCCTTCTCTCGCAGCTTTCTCAGCGATTCCGAGCCCATGATGATGATCTGACGGAACATTTCTCGCTCGTGCTCCGACATTCTTTCGGGGTAATAGTCGCATGGGAAATTGGAGGGTGATGCTTTTGTGAAAGACATTTTGAGATTAGCTGTCTGTGTGACTAGTTTGACGAACTGCAACATAAAGTGAAAAAAATTATAAATTACAAGTTCTAAAAATTAAACAAATAAATATACTTATAGATAAATATTGACTTTGCTAAAATCTATTTGTTTTTTCGAAAAAAGGTAAAATTCATAAAGAATATAGAATGAGAAGTATCACTTTGAAGCAAAAATTTTTTGCCACGTCGCTCGAGCCGAATACATTCTTTCGCTTGCACGATGTTTGTTGATCAACACAAAAGCTGAGTTGTTTAACGCATAATATTATACATCTCTCTACCTACGCTCTGTGGTATAGTCAAACCCGTCGAATGACCGTGAAAAGAAACAAAAAAAAAAGAAGCTTCGACGTGGTCTGATGCAATAGGCCAGAGAATGAGTAAACAAACACATCGCGCGCATCACTGTTTGACGCATGAGAAAACTTTTTCATAGGCGTGTTTTGTTTTTTTTAAAGCCCAGCAGTTCACCAGCTTTGAAAAATATATGTTATTTTTTAAATGCTATTTTTATTGTGTTTCGTTTTGTTTATTTTTACTTAGTTTATTTTCTTTTATTTAAAATAAACGTTTCTTATTATTGCGATCGAATCGCCGATTGAATTCGGTCAGAGAAAATCATCGAGATATTATGTGGGTCGTTTGTTGCACTCTCGCCTAAGGTTTATAATAAATTTCTTTTGGCCTCCTTTGCGATTTGACATTATGCCGAGAGGCGCAAGTCTGCTTCTCGCAGTATATAAAGGCTATGCCAAAACAGCCACTCGAGTGCATTAAACAGTCTGTACTCTATATTATATAGCTCCGAAGTCGTGAACGCGAGAGTATGAGGCGTCGATGCTCGCGATATGCAAAAATGTAACTTATATACACGTATACGTCGCTTACAACAAAGAGGCGCGGGGCCCGGCAATGGACGTACAACGACCTCTCGCTCGTATAGTCGCATCGGCCTACGTGACGAACGATCATATACATACTATATACATAGTCATATGCAGTCTGTTTTTGTTGTTGTTTACGTATTATATGCTGAAAAGTGTTATTAAGACGCGCCTTCAGTTTCTTATTCTGGAATCCATCAGATAATACAGTACGTGGTCGTTAAGCGCTCGCGATTAAACTGTACGGATGACGCAAGTTAACGACTGATCTGCACTAGCCGAAAATGGGAAAAATTTTTTGCCTATACGTTAACGTAGGTACTTACGCGCGCGACACGTCGAGAGGAATGTGCGCCTTTTTTTCCCGCCCATCGTACAGAAGTTTATTTTATTTTTATATAATGATAACATATGTGCTGTTGACCCCAATATGTAGCCGAACCAAGGCCAATACCTCATTCCATTTACGGAATTGGGGAACTTGAAAACTTCAGGGAACGGGCAGAAAAATTACGGATCATTGATCAATGAGGGAGAGCCAGTGGCATGAAAATTTGCCAAGAGAAAAACTAAACGTGATAAATGAAAACTACAATTCAGTGATATTATTGAATAATAAAATAATAAAAAAAAATTTTTTTTCGGAGTCATATTTCATACTAATATTATCTCAAAAAACAATAAATGTAGGAGTAAGTTGAAGAGAGATTGGAAATAACTTTTTGCGCCGATAAACGCGAGGCAATGTGAGGCAAGTCACGTCAGCTGTTGCGTATACAAACCCAAGCATCGAGTGTACCGTATAGTGTAACGATCCGTTCTATTTAGAATTGACAGATCCACTCGAAAAAAAGAGAAAAGGGGAGTGGTTTCTTTCAGCTTAACCGACTCCGAACCGACTTTTTTCGGATGTCCGAACAATGCTAAGATCAAAATTATGTACATGTATACGTGCGATTTTGAAAGCCATTGATAATTTAACAAACGGACGCTAATAGTAGCAATAAATAAGAGAGAGCGTTATTCTCATTTACTAAGACTGTGGGCTCGCTACGCAGATAACAGACGAGTAATTAGACTTTAAACTATACGCGCGAACGTGTAATGTCATGTGATTTTTAACTTTAAATTAAATGCCAGAGCGAACGCCAGCGTACGTCACATACGAGCGATTTTTCGGTTATAATAAAGAAACGCGCTGATGTAACATCTTTTTGAGCAATAAGATTGCGTCCGGATGTGCAGAAAAAACCGAAATTATTGTGAGTCACTGGTGCTAAGCAACTTTTTGTAACGATCATCGAGGCGCAAATGAACAAGTAATCGAAATTTCGATCATTCTTTTTCGTTTGGTTCTAATCTTAGTGGTAATTCACAGATCGCGTCGGAACATGTTCGTACTAGCGTGAGCACGAAACGACTCGAAAGCAAGCCATACGCCTCGCGCATATGTATACGTTCTACATTCCCGAAACTTGTCAGAACACGAAATTTTGTATTTTTATCGGTGCGTCGATTTCGAGTAAAAAAATCATTAATTGTCGTACGTGCATTCGGGAATATTCTAATTTTTTCCTTTTTTTATGTATTAACTAGAATTATGTTAAGATGAAGTGTAATAAGTCGAATCATCTAGAAAATCGAGAGGTATTATATTTTAATAACTTGAAAACGAATTTAATCTTGGAAAATCTTGTTTCTTAGACAATGTAGAGTTTTAAAATGATGAAAATTTAACAAAATTTAACGCGAGCGACTCCAAATTTTAGCAATGAAACTGAGTTTTGAGGATGTTCTTTTGAAGCCTTTATATTACGGTTACTTATGAGTCACGCCTTTTTGGCATTTAAAAAGAAGCGACTCACGTACGCTTGTACCGACGTATAGCGATCGATACTTCTGGCACCTTCACGAAGTATAATAGAAAAAAAAATGAAGCAAACAACAAAGAAGTTGTAATGACCCGAATCTTCACATAAGGTGTAAAGTGAAAATTTAAAAAAAAATTAATGATGATTTTTTTACTTCGAAAGTGTGAGCCTCCGTTACCCAAGCTAAGTTGTATATCATTGTAGCTACGTGTGCCGCCGTGCCATGAAGCGAGTCGCGTCGTATGCTTTTTAGTCGAAAAAAAAAATTTTTTTTGGTTAAATGTGTAAAAAAACCCCATGTGCTACATTTACGTCAAAAACGGAGCAGGATTGAGGACCTCGATTTACAATAAATTAAGGACAAAGAGAAACGCGGTATTGCATCAGCTGCTAGGCAGATGCGAATTATATTGATTTATTCAACTCCGATTTTCGAATTAAAGCTGCTGAGTTGTTTTATTTCTAACGAAAGTATAGAAAAATCAATATTTCTGACATAAAAATTGAGTTTTGTACAAAGACAAAGTAGACAAGTTACTGTATAAACCTTGAATACGGAAGTCTCACGCAGATACTATATCAAGAGAGCGTCAAACTGTCAAAAAGTAGACGCTAGAAAATGGCGCGCGAACGCGGGAATGCACTGTTGCAATAACTTAAAAATAATCAATTAATCCGAATTAAAGGTCAAGGTTTAAATGATTATCGTCAAAGTATAACACATTAGTGACGTAAAAAATTTAATTTCAGTGAGTTTCGAGTTTATTTTAATTCATGAATCATCGAGTAAAGAAAAAAAATCAGAAGATATAAATTTTCATCAGTACTTGCACGAATTGAAACAAAGCCTTAGTATAATGAATTGATAATTTAGTAGAGGGAATTGATGATTAGACTCAAGTATATTTAAAGTTAAAAATGTATTTAAAGTTAAAAAAGAAATGAAAAAAGAAAAATAATAAAAATAATCAAAAAACATACGTGTATCAGTCAATCTCGAACTATTCGAGAACTCTGGAAAATCCTTTGGGCACAATTATTGCACCTGGTCACAGCACTGAGTGAATTATTTAAATTCACTGTTCTATGCACGAACCATAAAATACGTTAAGTATTTGGCTATGACGAAGGCCGAGGGAGACGCGAAAAAAAAAATTTCACGTTGGGAGATGCTTTCAGCTTTGTGTAGTGACTAACCGGCTGGACGGCTGCTAGGCAGTATTTATAAGGCTCGGCAGTCGGCGTCGGCGGCTACGTATTGCGCGCGCACACGCCTATCTCATATGACAATTGGTAGGCCCCAGAAGTTTTGAATTTTTCACCGAGAAGTGGGAGTCTGGCTATACTCTTCGTTATCGATATTACATATAATCTATATAGTAGATAGATTATATATTGCAAATAGTGGACGATATTTGCCATATTTTTTTTTAATGTTAAATGACGAAGATAAAAATTTATATAGCTATCCAAAGGAAAAATCGATCCCTGAATTTTATCGTGCTACAGTAAAATATTTCCCTATACGTTAAACCTTCGTCGCTTTGCGTATATTGTAACCGTGACAAAATTCTTTCGGCGAGTTTTAATGCGTTTACTTAACACATGATATCCACAAATTTGCATAGATTCTTTATATGTATATTCAAGCGAAATATCTGGCATGCTTTCGAATTTTAATGATGAAAGTGAACATGTATTGATCGAGTATTATAATCACCTTTTGTTTTATAGTTTTTATCAATGCTTTGCGCATAAATGTACTTAGCAATTCAATGGCTTATATATTAATTTGGTGTCAAGAACAATGTATTTCAAATAAAATTAGGCCATTAAATGAATTTCTATGGCAATATTATTTCATACGTATCGATCATAATCAGGGCTTCTAAAAATTTTTTTTGCGGATTATCGTATTTAAGAAAAGCTCATAATTTAATTTTTAAAAGATCCTGAAACTTGTTATAGTAATTGAAAGTAAACCTATTCATCTTTTGAGTTGATTGCTTAGTAAATAATAGCATCAATGTTTGGAAAATTAGGAAGAATTTAGAAAATAATGCGAAAAGAATTTTTTAAAACAGAGCGATGCATTTATCGCTTTTCAGATTTTTAAAACAAATTATTATACATAATTTGAAGTATATTTTGCTCTTGCCAACTTATCTGACAATTCAAATGAACTATACTTACTTAATGGTTTTGATTGATTTAAGCGTATCGAAGATGATCAATATTACTGAAGAATCATTGCAATTTTATAATAATATTATCAAAAACAACACGGCATCTCGGCAAGATTGAACAAGCAGATGATAAATCTCGAAACACGATAAATTCAACGTATCGTATTGCTGCACTGGGAAAATGATAATTAATAACGAGCAAACAAGTCTCGCGCGATATTGCAAAAAAACAAAAACAAAATAAAATTAAAAAACAAAATGATCCGACAACAACAATACCGAGCTCGAATGCAGGAGCAACAAAGGAGAGTTCGAGTAGGAGAAGAGTGGGGCCTTATCCACCATCCGAGTCTTGATTATGGCCGTTTTTCTTTCTCGCCATTTTGTGCATGTACACGACGTCGAATATAACAAAAATGTTTTCTTCGCTCGGGAGAAGCGAGAGAAAGAGAAGCGAAAGTGCAGCGATGCATTTTGCAAGCAACATATCAGCGAGTATAATGTAAACATTAATATACGATAGCATGTACGAGGGCGTAGGCTTTGTATGAGTGTGCGTGAGCTCTCGGTCGAAAACAAAAACAAACGGTTCTCCGTGTATGTGCGTACTCTGTGTGTATGCGTGCATACCTATATATGCATGTGTATAGGGATCGTGCACAGTTATTCGGCGTTTCGCTGCGCAAATATAGAGTCGGCGATTGCGTCGTACGCACTCGGCTACATCGCAGATGCAAAAACTTACCTGGCTTTTTGGCTTGGCGGCTGACCTCTGCTTAGTTGGAGCGATGTGTATTTTCAAACTCGCTGCATTCGGCTCCGAAATTTTGGCCTCTCGGTCGATTCGTTCACCGGGTTAGACGGAAAAAAATAGGGAGAGAGGGAGAGACAGAGAAAGAGAGTCAGAAAGGGGGATGGGTGTGTATGTGAGATTGGCTAAGAGTCCACACCGGCCGTGCGGTCGTCGGCACAGCTGCGAGGCACGCGCGACCAGCTGTGGGCACAAACTGATATGCGCCCCAGCGCGACGACTCACTTTGACGCGATCGCAAAATATATCAGCACGCAGAAGAGAGAGCAGCACACAAAGAGCCGGAGAGATTGCGAAATTCTATACTCGCGCCGCCGGAGTTGCATTTTGGAGAAATCGAGTGCGTTCGGTTCTGCAGTTTACTGACAGTCAAGCGCCCGGAAAAAGTGCATGCAAGATGCACAATTGGGTCGTTTGCCTGATTTTTGAAGCGAATCCGCGTGCTTGACGGATAAAATTGTAAAAATAATCGATTTCAGCCGACGTAGCCACAATTAATAATTCGACAGCAATGATTCTAGATAATCTTTATTTGTCCATTAATGAAATGGAAAAGAGAAAATATCAAAAAGTTGATAATTACCAAACTATGGTTTTTAAGTGTTAATAATGGACAGGTGCGCTCTCGCACTTGTAGTCGTTATATCTATCTATGCTTGATAAGATCCACTTTTTGTCTGAATGAAAATTGAACCAAATAAACTTCTAATTTTAAAAATTTTTAATTACATATATACCAAGTAAATCAATCATTTTTTTCGGTGCTTCTCTAAAATGTCTTGACCTTATAATTTATAAAAATATAAAAAGAAAATGTTCATTGAAAATCCTGATTTTTATAATAGCATTATCAAAACATGAATTAATTTGTTTATTCTAGATAACATATTCAATTCAAAATTTACTCTACGTATGATGGTGTTTTTTTTTCAACTGAACGATTTGAAGAAATTATTTGCATAACTACACAATGATCTCAGAGAATTGATAATTGTTAAAATCCTTAGATTCAAATTAATCACAATTTAATATGTTTTATTTGGAATTACTCATTGGAAAAAACCTAATGAAATTAATTTTTTATTTTAATCAAAAGATTATCACTTACTAGTTATTAACATTTAGGTTTAATTTTGTTTAAACTTTATAAGAACCTCTTTATGGTAATGCAGTTACCTTCCCCTCCCCGCGTTCTTTATTTCGACTTGAAGCGTGTCTGGTGTCACTGTCAGTTGCGCTTGAGCATCCACAATGCGAGCTCACACAATCCAAAATAAAGTGTCTTACTATTTTTGATTGTCATTAATTAGAACTATCCTGTCATAGCTATTAGGACATTTTGTCAGCTCGTTAATAAATCAATTGGTTAATTTTTGGCTGCAAAGTGATTTTCAAATCACTACGCAATTGTTCATTGTCTATAACCTCTCTTTTGGCTATTGGACACTTGTGTATGTATCAGTTTTATTGCATTGTTTACAAATAACATGTCAGCTTTCTCAGTGCTTTAAGAGAAAGTGTAGTTAAGTATCCTCGTATTAAATTTGACTATTTATAATATTTAAACAGAATAAAAAACTATAAAAATGGCTGAAGATATGGAGAAATTCGAGATTTCCGATTATGATTTGGAAAACGAGTTCAACATCAATCGTCCTCGAAGAAAATACACGAAAGCTCAGCAAATGTTAGGTAAGTAATACGGACAATAATTATTTATTAATATTTTATCAAGTTTGAAGTTTTATGAAATTGTGTTCAACAAAACATCCATGGTTTTTTCAGGAGTTTGGGCCGATAGTGACAGTGATGATGAACCAGCAAGGCCATCATTCAAAAGGCAAGGTAAAAAAGATTATTCTGCTCCAATTAGTTTCATTACTGGAGGAGTACAACAAGCTGGACAGTCAAAAAAGCAGAAAATGGATATTTCAGATGATGAAGAAGATGAAGATGCCCAGGATAATAACAAAATCAAAGACAGTTCTAGGTAAGTTTAGATATAAGTAAATAAAAGAATGTATACATTTTTGTCAGACGTTGTAATATTTAATAATTCATGTCTAATATTTTTTAGTGAATCTGAAAATGAAAGGCCATCTTTTTCTGGAGCAAAATCTACATCAACTTTTAATTTTCAACCAGATGATATTGCTGGTTTGAGAAAAAAGCGAAATCCAATTAATACAGATGTCATGAGACAAGGTTTGGGTACCTGGGAGCAGCACACAAAAGGAATTGGAGCTAAGCTGCTTCTTCAGATGGGTTATCAACCAGGCAAAGGCTTGGGTAAAGATCTACAAGGTATTGCTGCTCCAGTAGAGGCCAAACTGCGTAAAGGTAGAGGAGCCATCGGTGCCTATGGACCAGAAAAAGTAGCAAAAATAGCTGATACAAAAGCAAGCATTGAAGAGAGCGAAGCTAAAAAATCAAAACAAGCCAAGAGCTCACAATGGAAAAAAAGCAACAAAAAATCAAATTACTCTGTCAAAAGTGTGGATGAAATAATAGAAGATGGAAGAAAAACAAATAGAAAAGTACCTACAATTGATACAAACATTGTTAAATGTAATGTTATTGACATGACCAAACCAGAAAAGAAAACTTTCAGTGGGTATCAACATGCTCTAGGAAAGCGACAAGAACAACCAGATGAAAATGTTGTAACTGATGATAAAACAAAAGCAGTTTTCACTTTAACAGAATTACAGCATAATTTGGATACATTGGTTGACATGTGCGAACAAAATATAATCCAAATTGACAGACGCAAAACTTATTCAAGTGACAGAATTATTTGTTTAAACTCTGAAAAAGAGACATTAATTAAAGTTCGTGATCAACACGCACATTTGATCGGAACATTAGAAAATGTTTTAGCTACTGTAAATAAGTTAGTAGAAAGAAATAGTGAAATGAATTTGAAGGAAACTGCAGAGGCCTTTAAGTATCTACAAGATAGACACTTTGACGAGTATAAGGCATTTAGATTAGGAGATCTGGCATGTACATTTATATCACCAAAATTCAAAGAATATCTTTCCCTTTGGAGCCCATTGTTACAGCCCAACTTACCACTATCTTTATTTGAAGAATGGAAAGAAATTTTACAAAATGGAGCCCTTTATGATCAGAGACGATCTATGGCTCCTTATGATCAGCTAGTTTGGAATTCATGGATGCCACCTGTACGAATTGCAATACAGTAAGTGCCATCATTTTTACATTCAAATTGAAATATTTAATTTTTACAATTTTTTCAAATATTTTCTTATTTTAATTTAGGAATTGGATCTGTCGCCAACCGGAAAATTTGGTTGATTTGATAGAAATGTGGGCCCCCATTCTACCTTACTGGATTATGGAAAATCTCTTAGAGATTATCTTGCGAAAATTAACGAACGAAGTAGAAGAATGGAACCCTGTCACGGACACTGTACCGATTCATACATGGATTCATCCATGGTTGCCATTGATGAGTGAGTACTATATTTTCATTTAATCAAATCATGTGAAATAATGAATAACTAATGTAAATAAAAATCGCGTGATTTATTCTGTTCATTATAAATTCAATTCAAATATTTATTTTTACTATCTTTTACAGAGAACAAAATGGATACTGAAATTTATCCAATAATTAGGAGAAAATTAGGGAACGCTCTTACAGCATGGCATCCCTCAGATCACTCAGCAAAGTCCATTTTGCAACCATGGGTGTCTGTTTTCGCAAAAGGCGATTTGGACGCTTTTCTGGTCAAACATATTTTACCGAAGCTTCAACAAGTTCTTCAAGCTTTTGTTATTAATCCTCATTCACAAATGTTAGAACAATGGCATTGGGTGTATGACTGGAAAGATCTAATACCGAATCATATAATGGCATCAATGCTTGATAAATTCTTCTTCCCAAAGTGGTTACAAGTTTTGGGAATATGGTTAAATCATTCTCCAAATTACGAGCAAGTTACCAACTGGTACACAGGTTGGAAAAAAATGTTAAGCGATAAACTTCTTGCTGAGCCCATAATCAAAGGTAATAAACATTTTTTCATTATTTTATTTACGTAAGTTGCATAATTTTAATTCAAAATATCATTTTCCGCAGAGCACTTTAGAAGAGCACTCGATATGATGAATAGATCGGTATCAACTCCGCAAGGTGATTTGCTGCCAGGATCCGTAGAGCAAGTTTCTTATTTGATGAATTTAGAGCGCACTCAAGCTCAAAGTGCTAAAGTATCGCAAATGTCTCAACCTAGAATAGAGGTACGTCATCTTATTCAAATACTAAATGCATGTGTTTATCAGGAAAGAATCTAATTCAAATGTTTTATGCTTGCAGAGATTAGCAGAGGCTGTCAGGAGCGCGTCGCAGGTGCCGCAAGGTTTCAAAGATCTAGTCCAAAAACGTTGCGAAGAACGAGGAATCTTGTTTATGCCTCTTGTAAATAGATACCGTGACGGAAAACAAATATACAAAGTCGGAAATATTCAAGCATTCATAGATGGCGATTGCATATTTACGTGTCACAACGGCTCGTCTTGGCTACCCACGAATTTGAGTACTCTATTAGACACAGCCGAAATAAGTTGATTATGAATTTATTGTTAGTAGTTGAACAATAATTTAAAAAAAGAGAATCTATGTGAAAAAATATATTTATTTATATATTTCTTACTTGAAGAATTATCATTATCCTGCCTATTTCTATACTCAGTTTTTTGTTTCATTAAAAAAATATTTATTTTCAACATTATTAATTGCAAAGGCATGACATTTAAAAAATTAAAGAATAATTTAATTTAAATTATTAAGTGTTGAACTATTTTCAGTTAGTGAACTTTTTTGTGTTTTAGTCAAAGTCTTATAATTATTATAATAACTTAACTTCAGACATCTTATTTCCTTTAAATTCACATATGAATTATACTAACTATTACTATGTTTGAAAAAATGTTGAATATCCGAATTACTTTGAACATTGAAAAAATTTTGTTTCACCAATCGTCGATTCGATCGAGTTTTTGGAATCTTTACGTATTGTGCTCAATTGTATAAACTTCATTAACTGTGGTACTGGTAGTCCGTATTTTTGTATTGTCGTTATTCCACGGTTGTACATTTCCTCGTCCAAAAATGATAAAAAAGGAATTCGTTAAAATGTATACAGCTGCTGTTATGTAGAAAATTGTATGCCACTGCGATACGTTTTTCTGGAGACAGAAAAAAACAGACTTTTGTCAAAAACATTCTCGATAGGTCTCATTGTACATTCTGATTAATCGCTACCTCATCTTGCACGATGTAACCACTGATGATAGGAGCCAAAATACCGACGATATTTCCCGCCGTGTTTGAAATCGACATGAGAGTCGCCGCGTAATTCGGGCTCAGATCGATGTGATTGATCTGAAAGCCCGAGGACACGGCGGCATTGATTCCGACGACGACCACGAAAACGGCCACCGACAGGACTTGACTGCTCGTGATCGCGTCGACGAGGCAGAGACAGATCAACGCCAAGGCAGGGACCCACATGCCGATCGTGTTGTTCAAGTTGCGAACGAATCTCGTCGACAAGCCTTTGCGCACAGCGAGGTCCGACAGTATTCCGAACGGAAAGCCCAACAGCCACATGACGAAATACGGCAGGCCCGATATGACACCTGACTGTATATAATTTGAAGGCAAAGATCGATTATCAAGGAGATATCGAAGAAAATTAATTAAATATTCGAGTCGTACCCCTTCGACGTCAAAGCCGCTGACGGACTCCATGTAACTCGGCATCGTCGTGACAAGCGTGTAGTATCCGTAGTTGTTACCACCGTGAATAATCGTTAGGGCCCAAACGGGCAACGAAGTGAAAATCGCAGTCCACGGTATCGAGCGTTTCTGCAAAGAAAAACACGCGCACTCAGTGGAAAAATGTTTTCTGAACAATTTACACCTCGATGCATGCTCAATATCTTACGCCACTCGAGCCCGCAGTTCTGAAAATGCTGAAATTGATGTAGTAGGCCTCCTCGTCCGATACGCGCGAATCTTTGGACGGCTCGTCGGAACCGATGAATAAGAACAGCAGACTCCAGAGGAGCCCGAGTGCACCGAAAAAGTAAAAGATACCCGGCCAGCCGACGGTGGAATTGGCGAGTAATCCAGCGATCGGCATGCTCGTGAACGTGCCGAATTGCGCGGCGTTGATCACGAACGAGCCTGTGTGCAACATTGAAAAGAATTGCAATTTGAATCAGCTAGTGTCAAATTGCGACGATGAAAAAATCGGCCCTATACCGAGTCTCGATCTCTCTCGGGGCGGTGCCCATCTCGACAGTATGGCATGGCAGCAGGGCAGCAGGCAGCTCTGCGCGACTCCCATGAGCACGCGAAGCGCCAGCACGGCCTCGTAGCCGTACTCGTCCGCCACGATCGGCATCAGCAGGTTCAAGCCCGAGCAAGCCAACATCCCGACGCCGAGCAATTTCGCGGCGCTGAACGTGTTGGCCAGATAGCCGCTCGGCAATTGCATCGTCACGTAGCCCCAGTAAAACGAGCTCTGCACGAGTCCGTGGATCGCTAGGCTCCAATCGTGTACCTTGACGTTTTTTTTTTAATTTGTTTTGTGAAACATATGTGCATTAGATATCTGTTTATCTATCGATCGGTGGTTAGAGCAGTCCGCGAATAATCGTGAACTAATTTTTTTGTGCGTACTTACTCGTATGTTAGGATTGGTAGCGTTCCGAGTTTTCATGGCAATGAGTGCGACGGACAGAGAGACGCGAAGGGTGTATCCAATCGCCATACCGAATGCCAACATGAGTACCTGAACGTGTCTATAACCATATGTGCCTACGAGTCATTGGAATAAAAATATAAATTTTCAACTTAAATTCACGTCGGCTGTCCACAACTTTAAAAACGTCATACTTGCACTGCTATTTGAGTTTTTCTCTCTTTCTGTCTGTTCCATCGTGATAGTTTATAATTTAAATTAATTAAAATAACACATAAAACAAGTAAAAGAGAAAAGCTACATTCGTAACATTAATCGAGATTTTTGCATGGAGTGCGAAAGATAAACTATAGTTATTCGTTGAACAGGTGTGATAGAACTGATATAATAGTATCGATTAATATTGTTCATCAACCTATAAAAATGTTTCCTTTTTCTCAAGTTCGCATTGATAAGGATGTATAAAAAAATTTTTACAATATTATCAATTCTTTTTTTTTGTTGATGCTTAGAGTAACGAGAATCGATTAAGGTATTGCAAGAGTTCGATGCGTTGCATGAGATATGTGCAAGTTGTAATAAATAATAGTTATTCAAAACATAAATATTACTATTGCTTGCATATATTTATTTTTTATTGTTATTATATATGCATTTAAAAAAGTGATAAATGTCAAAGTGAAACATTTTACAATGTGCTTTGATTGATTCGACTCGATTTGAAATGAAAATTGTTGAAAATCGAGATCAAAAAAGAGGAGAAAATAATCGCTTGATAAGTGTATTTGTGGAGCCAAGCTGCTTACATGTATACGAATAAGTAATACCAACTATTCATACAATACGCTACATGATAGTAAATGTTTGAATCAATCTTCATAATTTTTTCTTCTTGATCGTGAAAAAAGGTGAACTTCGGCGATACTTAACAAACAATGTATTTGGAAAAGTATAAAAAACTATAAGCTTGAAAAGTAATTTACGAAATTTATGTTAACATTTCTTATCGTAAAAAAAGTTTATTTTCCTCGTTGATTAATTTAAGCGCCTAATTGGCGCATTTGTATTTTGAAAATAGAAATATCTCGGTTATACTCACCTATTAGTGTGAGAATCATTTTGATGACGACATAAGTAGGTATTGAGCTTGCCCGTGCGTGGTGATCATGTCAAAGCCGAGGAAAACGCGTAAAAACAGATCGCGACTAGTTAATACGTTTTACAATTGGCGAGTACAATTGTTTGTATGATAGTTGTGAAAAAGCGAGTGTGACATACTTCAATCGTTTAATTTGCACTAAAAATTTGTCTGTCACAATAGACAAATAGACAAATTTATAGTGCAAATTAAACGATTGAAGTATATTTTTTATCCCCCACAGTGTATTTTTGAAACTTCTCGAAGTAAATATTAAAATCAAAACTCATTCTTTTTAGTGGTTTTTTTCATGTTATGTAGAAAAACTTTCAGAAATTAATTAGAGTTCAAGTATAAGTATGCTTACATTTAATTTTTATTCATAACTGTTCAATAAAGAGACTTGCAAGATCTATTGATTTCACATAAAGAGTAAATATTAAGAAACTTCATAATCTTGACCATACATAATCTTGTAGCTTTTTTGGAGGTTTCTTAGCTCGTACGGGTCTCTTGTTATTACATTCTATTGCACTTGATATTACATCATTTTTACGGTCCTCGTGAATTTGGTCTGTAGCTGCCAAGAAAATACGACATAAATCTTTATTCACTAGCAGCTCGATGATTATTTCGCAGCACAGAATCGGCAGTCGGTAGTGTGTCAACTCCAGAAATGAGTCCAATGCCCATCGTCGGAAAAATCTTCGTGACATTATCTCGCACAGATACTCTTCTCGACCATGATTTCCGTGGAGTAAATCCAAATTATCTTCGCGTACAAACTTGTAGTATTTCATACATGTGACTAATTTTTCCGCTTCTCTGGGTCGTAACCGCATCAGGTCGTAAAGCGAAAGATTCTGACTTATCATAGACTCTTTCGCAGCGTACACGAAGTATTCGTCGTCAAACCAAGATTTTTGAAGATCCGTCGACTTTTGGAATAGTTCATGTTTATCGAACAATTTCATGATCGTCAGGGCGTCACTTCGATCCAGTTCGTATCCTTTTTTCTCTAGGCACTCGACGACGGTCAAAGCACCAGAAGCTAGTTTCAATCGGAAATTGTAAAAAATAGCATAGGCTCGCTTTTCAAATATTTTAGCGAAGTAATTCGCAGTGGGAAAAACGAAGCTGGAGAGATTGGCACCACGATCCAACAATACGTCAACAGAATGCGGAAAAAAATTTGCCACGGCCAATTGCAGCGGCGTCCGGCCCAAACTGTCCGTGGCGTCTACTTGCAACGTTAGATGTTTGTCGTCGCAGATCTGGAAAAAGGCCTCCATCAAGTCGTCATCGCGATCTTGGTATTCTCTCTGGCAAATAACGTGCAGAGGTGTCGTTCCGTTGGTGTTGGGTAAATTCGGATTTGCGCCGCGTTCCAAAAGCACTCGGACGGTTTGTTTTTTACAGCCCCAGGACAGAGCAGTGTGTAGTGGCGTTTGGTCCTCGTTGCTCCAGGTATTAACCTGCACTGTCTTATGTGCGTAGTCAATTATCTTGAAAAATAGCTCTGCTACGTTGTAATCGTTATCATCGTCGTCGATGCAGCTGTTGCAAATAATGTGCAGAGCTGTTCTTCCGAAACCATCGACTAAATTTGGATCCGCACCATTCAACAACAAACCTTGCACAGTCATGTTACAGTCGTTATAGTTTTCCAGAGCTACATGCAGTGGCGTCTGGTCGTACTTGTCCCGGGCATCCAATTGCAAAGGCCAGTATTTGTCGTCGCAGAGCTCGAATAATATCTTTATCATGTCATCATTATCTTGATCAATGATGCTTATGATGTGCAGAGGAGTTTCTCCCTTCTTGTTAGGCAAATTCGGATTGGCCCCATGCTTTAGCAACATTTCGGCGATCGTCTTCCGGCGGTAGATCAGAGCCAAGTGCAGCGGCGAATAACCTGTTTCTGTCACGAGGACATTGGGATTCTGTCCGAGCTCAAGGAATTTCTCGACGACGTCGTGACAGCCTGACTGGCAGGCCACGTGAAAATGCGTGTAACCGTCAACGTCGGTGTAATTCACGTCAAACCTGTTGTAAATTACGAATAGATCGAGAATCACGACTGAGTATCTGCCTCTAGCCAATTCGTGCAGTGCCGTGGTGCGATTCAGCAATGGCTTGCCATGTTTATCGACTTGGGGCTCGCCCTTGTAGCCAGTCTTGATCACAAAATCGATGAATGAAACTCCGTTGCTTGGGTAGCGACTGCTTTTCACATCTTTAGTAAGAAGCCAATCAATTTCTTCCGGACGAAAAATATCTTGGAGGTTTGGATATTGGCCCTCCCAATCACTGATCAAGGGATAAAGTTGACGGAGAAGTTCGATTCTCTCCTTTTCAATCTCCCAATCGACGTTTTCTCGCAAACTCTTCAATTTCTTCAAACAGTTCGTGTCGTTGGCCATCGTTTTACACCCTCACACAACACAATCGCTTACAATTTGAAGTATTTTTTACTTTATTACACGAGAATCACTTGCGGCAGTGGATGCGATCTTCCTTTGTTGTTTGCGCGGCGGCGTAGTAACGTCAAACGTGTGCCACTGAACCGTGCACTTGTGGCGCCAAACTGCAGCCAATAAGGCGGGATCGTTCTCTTGTAGTTGTCAGTAAGTCTCGAAAAGTCGGAACGAGTCATACCAAGATAGGCGAGTGACCAAGCAATAATGTAAGTAACCACTAACCATGATAATTGCATAAAAAAAAACGAGATGTGGCGTTTTAAGTACTTAAAGGCTTACATGGATTTATGACTGTAAGTAGATGCTGATGCGAGGGTAAAGTTTTTCCTTTTTTCAATTTTTTACTGCAGAACCATGATATCAACTTACTCATCATAATTGAATTTACTGAAACCTTCGTATGATAGGATTGTATAACGAGAATCTTTAAAGAACTGAAAAGTATCTCAGAGTCGAAAGAATGATCGTACTATTTTTTTTCAAAGAGTTCTTACCTTTTCCAGAGCTTTTTTCAGAACTCAAAGATTTTACAATTGCTATTCGTGTCATTCTTTTACATTGTATAAATTTCTAAATTGTAGAGATAAACTACAAGAAATATCACTAAACATATTCTGGTAACCCATGATCAGTAATTCACGCATTTTAGTCATATCGATTTCCGTTATAAAAAATACAAGACAGATGTATCAAGCAGCTAAAAAAAAACAATTAATCTTTCCGATTTCTCTATCCCATATGCTACCGACGGATGTCCAATGCTCGGAAACATACGAAGTACTTAAAATTCACTTTCACTTGACATATTGATGTAATATAAGCTAATAATGTAATAAAAGCATGTGCTTCAATTTGTTAAATAATTTAACATTAAATTTATTTAAAGTCTGCAAACAAACTTAGTCAATAATATGGATTTAAAATAATCGTTTACACAGGATATTTACATTCACATTAAAAAATTTTTCATTTTTTTTTAAAAATAAAAGAATTTATTTTTTTGAAATGATATCACATATTTCTGATGAGAAGAAATTTTTTGAAAATTAATTTAACACCAGAAAGAATTGAGATATTTCACACAATAACAGTAAAATTTTACATTCGTCAGAACAATTATTTACATTAAATGATTTATGACTTGTTTCACATTCCTTTAAACGTTCATAAATTTAATAAATTATAAATATGGAATTCAAAACAGCAATAATCATATTCGGTTAGATTCAATAATTTAACTAGTGGTATGTAGCTTTAATCACCAAAGCACATTGTGGCGCTGACTTTCAGTACCTTTTAAAAAAATTAGTTTTTAGCCTAGTAATTTTTCATAAAAATTTACGATTTAAAAAAATCCAAATAGTGTAATACTATAGTCAAAAAATTTACTTAATAGCTATATTATGATTACGCCGATCGATTTCTAAAGCCTTTTTACTTTTCACCATTTCAATACGTTTAACTGCATTTTCTAAATCAAATAAATGTGCATCATAGACTTTTGGAGCAATAGCCCTCATTGAGTGAGCTAAGTTATATAAATACTCAGTGTTATGTCCACTTGCTCCAACGCATTCCGCTATGTGACTTGCAATAGTATCGATATCTTCATAACCAGCAAAGTTTGGATTGACTTCACGAGCTATATAAATGTTGAGGTGAAATGGTGTGGCCTCTGCTTGTGAATTGCTGAATGGATGAAATAGCACATCTACTCGTTCATACATGTTTTCTCTGTAGTCTAAATGTTTGGTGACACTTTCTATATCTTCATTTGCAATTTTGTAAGCGCATCCCCATACTTCATCTAAAGGATTATTAGAAGAGAGAAGAGTGACAACTCTTCCGGGCTGAAAAATCGATAAATAACAATAAAACAGTGTTTTGACAGTCAACAGAAAAGTTGATCTCAAAAAAATACAAGCTTCATCAAACTTACACGACTTGGCACTCCTCTGTGATCAGTGCTTTTTTGGTAAAATCTTCTTATGAATCCTTTAATATGTCCAACGACTCTTTTTTCATAAGGAAAGTCAGCCTTCCAGATCAAAGATCCGTAGCCGAAGACCCACATTTCTTTTTCCTGTTTACTGGAAGCAAAAGTAATCTTTGTTTAGTATGAGTCAATACACAAAACTTTTATATGTTGAGATGATTTTCATTTATGACACTTGTTATGACTTATCAACACTTGATGACTTATATAAACTGGGAAAATTTAATTAAATAAAAACATAAGAAGGCAGTGCAGAGTGGTTAAAAACAAGATCAAACTGCAATTATTGGAGCTGTCTATTGATCAGCTGATAAATTAGACATATTTACATTGTTCATGAATAGGTTATACTACTAATTAAACAAATCGAACGCGAGATATAGACAGTTAAATTACTCACGAGTCTTGGACAGCAAGTCCGAGAGAACGAGAAAGGAAAATAAGAGAATGGTACACCCCGGCTAGACTTAAAATGTCATAAATCAACAAGCGCTGACATATGGCCACTGTTAGTGTACGATAAGCTGTCATTACTTTTATTAGCATGGACATAATAAAATATCGAATGCAAGCGAGCTTTTTCTTATCGACTGCAAATCGTGACAAAAGAGAGCGAGAGAGCAAGCACGAGCGGGCTTTTTCAACGTAGCGTTGATCAAGCGGAAGAAGAACAAAGATTGGGCACGTTTATAAGTTGACAAGGTCAGTGCGTGTCGAAAATAAAAATAAAGAGCTATATTATTTACAAATGTACAGTTATCCGTCAGTATGTACGTGCGAATATGCCAAGACAGAAATTGGCCCGAGCATATAGGTGGTAACGGGCGAAATAGAAAGCTTATACACACTCACCTTATCATATTTGTAAAATGTAGAAAAATGCCTTAACACGAGGGTTGATTGATAATACTGATGATGGATTTCTTGTTTAATTAAAAAATCCGGCTTGACTGTCTAATGTGCCTTAGGTACTATATACTGGTCGACGATGGTGCACCAGCTTCTTGCGATGTGGAGCGATCGACGGACGGAGTGCGAATGTGCCGTTTGCCATCGCTTAGCGAGCAGCAGGCTTCCCTCGCGCGACTGAAGCTCGCCTCGCGCGCAGCGCACACCGAGTCTTGTGTGTATATAAGTTTCGCGTGCGCGGCTGATGCAAAGCTTGCGTCATTTCGGATTTCTCATCGGCTTTGCTTCTCTAAAACCGTCGCCCATGTGCATGTGACGTGTGCGTGTGTGCGTAAGCGCGTCGTCTGTATTCGCACACTTTTTTCTGCCTCTTGTTCTTCGATACACATTTGTAGTGTAGGTTGACAATCGATGAACACACGCGCTCATCGTGTATACGTGTATTAATCACATGTATACACGCACACCAATCGGACGAACTGCGGCGGCTGGCGCAAGTGAAAGAGACTCCGCAAAGCTATTATTATGTAGTTTTTTGGAGAAAGAGAGGAGCATCGCACGGCTCGTATGCGTGCCGCGGCTGATGAAACTTTTCAAGGTGCTTGGGCGATGCTCTCTGCCGCCCCTTGCCTTGGCCTTGGAAATTTTTTGCGGAAGACGCGATCCCGCGATGCATGATTCAATGTCATAACAGTTTTACCTAAACTTTTTTCTCTTCTCTACTCTTTTTTTACCCAAAGTTATTGAATAATAAGAATTCGTCGACAAGACCTCTTTGTATTGGATTATTATGGGCAAACCACGTGTGCCACACGCGAGTCAATTGGTTGTTTGAACTTTTTGACAAAGAAAGCGCGGAAAATGATATAGTTTCCCTGTAATAATCGTCGCTGACTCAAACGTATACAAAACGATTTCTTTTTTCGACACAAAAGCCTCGCGCTACCTCTGCGCTGCGGTGCTCGCGAGGCTGGAAAAACTATTCCAGAATTTCTCATGTGATTATTTTAATTTTAGCTACTGCTCTGTGCAAATGAGATCGAGGTTGACATCATTAGCTTTTTTTTTTCGACTTCTAAAATTGTACATTTTTTGATCTATTTAGTTCGAAGGTAGAGAATGAAATCAATATTTTTGTTTTGGTAAATACTTGTGAACGATTAATTGTATATGAATCAATGATTCACGATTTAAAGTCCAAATCGATTGGTAGCTGAAAAGCTATTGTAATACTACTCTTTTTCTGTGAATCATACTACTCCGGCGGACATTTTTAAAGAGTCAAATAAAGAAAGTTAATACTACTGACCGAACAAAAATATTGTAATGAGCAGATATATAGATGTCGATTTTTTAAGTTTGTTAACCCTTATACACATTTACCTTACTATTATAATATCAATATTTTAACGACTCAAAAAAAACGTGCTTTTAAAAAATCAGATAAACAAAGACTGTAGCAGACATAAACAAATGTTATCTAATTTTGATAAATTGATACTTTATTTATCTCGTTGAAGAATTTTTTTATCAGTATCCAGCGCGTTTCAATATTTAATCCTTACACACAAGAGTGTAAATCGTATACAAGATTCATTTCATTAGGAAGTTAATCTTTCGATCAATTGAGCAATTAATATTAAAATAAATTGATCGTTAAATTTTATTGAGTATATCTTCATATCTTTCATATCGACATTAAGTAACGGTATCACATAAAATTGACACCTAAAAAATTCTGTAAATGTAAATACAGTACAAGAATGTAAACATTTCATTTTTACCAGCGACGTCTATCAACACAACGTTTTCTAAGCTTGAAACTTCAACCACAAAAAGTGTTTCACGCACGACGCTGACAAAAGTCGTAATTATTTAATGCCGACCATTACCAATTGCACCGAGTTTGTCAAACTTACGAAATCTTTAACCACATCGGCAAGGATTATGATATATTTTACTAAGTCACGATGATTCACGCGAGTTGCAGTTTTGACGACATCTAAAAACTAATGACAACCATTTAACACTTGTCTCTCGTTGCGTGACTTCGTAGATTCATTAAAAGTCGAGTTCCACAATGTTCTTTTAGCCAATGAAGCATTGAAATTAACCTTAGAGAAACATTGAAATCTATTATGTTTTTCAGTCACAATCTAGTTTTTGTCAGATGCTGAAAGTATAAAAATTACTTCAAAAAGTTTTAGTACGAATGAAAGTTACGCAACAATTTAAAGAGTAAGCTTGTGTTATTGCGAAAGAAATGTGCATGAAAGCACTATTTGATTAGAACTAAATTAAAAGATTAATTGGAAAATTGACCAAAAGATTATCTTGATCCAGTTTTAGATTATAATTGTATGTACTTGTAATTAGTGTTTGATCTAGAAAATGTACACCACAATTAACTTCGCAATCAATTCTACAATTACTTGGATCCCTTTCTTTTGCATTTGTAAAGTACTTTATTTTGTATTAATCTGCAAAATGAAGTAAACTTGAGAAATATTGATCACTCATGTTTATATTGATCACTTATAAATTAATGTATTTTGAAGTTAATTTATTATCGTTTACGCAATTGTTCAGTCGTGACTAAATGGATTGTTACGTACTAAAGCTGCATATTGTTCAAGTTCGAAATCGGTTTTATGAAACTTTAATGCAATATTGAAACGAATAAACATATTAATTACTTTATACCGTATAAGCAAACAAAAATGTTGTTAAGATTTTTTGAAAGAGTTCATTTTTTGAGATAAATGCGATAAAAAATTTATTCAAGATATTTTGGGTTTTTACAATCATTCAGATCTAATTATAAGTCAACAATCAAAATGTATTTATATTATCATTTTAAAATTATTGTTATAGGAAATGTTCGTTTATTACTTATAAATTTAATTTTAAACGGCAATATAAACTTTATATTAGTTTATAAGCGTATAACAAGAATACATAAGAAAAAATACTGTGGTTTGCAATGTAACTAATGTGAAAATTTAATCGCTTGAATATGAATGCCTGACCAACTTCTAGTCACGTCACTCGACAATAAAATCAAGCTCAAATGCGTTCAAAAATAATAGAAATAATAAAAATAAAAATGTTAGGCAGCTGTCAGTAAAATTCTTTAAGTTCTGCGCATTAAATTACGAAAATGATTTAAATATACTCAATATTTATCATTACAGCGTTAATTTATAACAAAATGTTGGTTAAACCAAAATTAATTTTTTCAACTTTTGCACGCAAATTAAAAATTCGATGGAAAAAACGTTTCCCATTGCTAACGAAATTAAGAAACATATTTATCGAGCAATGGTATACTCACTGGAACTTACCATCTGCCCAATAAGCGCTTTTGTGGTAAGCGCTCTCGAGCAGCGCCACCACGTCATAATTCTGACACGTAACTTTAGAGTCGTTAGAATTTGATTTTCTAGATCACGTAACAAATATTCACGCCAATAAAAATTATGCATAAGTGTAAATTAATGAAAGATGCTTGCTAATTTTTCAACGTGATTATAGTATTTTTTTGCAACTCTTGATGTGTTTAAATTGAGTAATTATTTAAATGTACGAATTTATTCGTTCGCTTGTTGATGGAAATGCGTATTGGTGGGCTTAGCCTCTTTAACTGTGTCCATTAGCCCAAGCAGTCGGTTTCGAATTCGCTCAAGCGCGAGTCGGTAACATGGCTCGTCCTGGTTTATAGATCTACGAGGCTTACGCGGGGATATCGACGATGACTTATTCCAACTGCTTGCCCGTTGGCTAAAATCCGTCATAACAGAAGGTGCGAATGGAACTGTATGAGCCTAGCCACAAGCTTGGTCTTCCTTCAAGCTTTCCGAAGCAAGTCTGGATTTAAATAACAACAAAAATGAATTAAGCGATTACCACTGAAAAGCCCCTTGGGGCGTTCGGATCTGTAACTTCGTATGAAGGCCGCGAAAATCATTCCAGTATACGATACCTTGAAAGTTTCTAAATGGTTATTCAAAAGTTTTTGTTTTTAAATTCTTTTTAAATTCCCTTTTTTAATTTAATAAAATTAATTTTCCAAAAAATAAAGTTAATTTAGTTAATTTAAAGTTAAGTTAAGACACGCGTAAAAACACGTAAAAAAGCTTGTTTTTCCGTATGAAAAATAGAAAGAAAGTTTAAATACCAGTATACCACGTGTTACCGTGCAATATGACCATGTATAATCACATATATCGTTATATACCGTATATCCACGAATATCTGAGAGGGACCTACATATTATAGTACTAGTAAAACCGCGTATACCATATACTTACATATGCGCTGAATAACCAAGGAAAAATTTCGAGGGTACGTATATATAATTCAGGTTCCTCCCAAGTATACGCAGATGTTCGTTATTCAACGCATACGTGAAATTGCGGTATACTCGGTTTTATCGATGATACTTGGATATAATAAATAGTCTGGCCTCTTTGATGCAGTGATTGTTGATGTGAAACATCTATATTCGCGTTTGGCATCAGTATTTTAACGATTTTTTAACATTTAAGTTTTTTGTTTTCATTGATGAACTCTATGCGTTCCTTATGAATCAAGTGCATGAGATACCGAAGCTGAACTGAAAATGAAAATTTTCAAAAACATTTTCAGAGATTACTGTCGCATTTTGACTAAAAATAGATTCGTGGTTTTTCAAAAAATGAAAAAATGAAAGTACCCATCAGGTGTTGTAGAAAAATGTTCGGTAATAATTTGAATTATCGTGTATGTTACTTTATCATCTCGAATCTACAAGGAAAAAACGCAGGTACACTATTTTTATGTTATGCCTTACGTTTCGAGATATTTTTTCAAACATGGATAAAATATGTCATTATGTCGAAATGCTGTGATATTATATGAATTAAATGAGCTTCCTGAAAAGTTAATGAGACTGATGGTAATAATATACAAAACGTTTATAGAGCTCGTATGGCAATGCATTACTTCTTAAGTTACTACACTATTATGTTTGATTTTATATAAAGTTACGCAAAAACGATAAATATGCCATTGCTGATTTCATTATCTGCAATAAATTATTTTTCAATTGTTTTCAATTTGATATGATTTTTTAATTCGAATTTAAACACACTCACACTTGTAAACATCACTAAAGAAAAGTGACCGAAATTTCCTGCCATGAGAGAAAGAGCTTTTTGAGATCGTCTAATGCAAAAAATTATTTTTTTCTGATCTTCAACGGGCAATTTGTACCACTCGCATTGATAAAACGCATTCGAAACATTAATACTCTGTAGAAAAGTGATTGAAATAATTTTTAACCAAATTTAAATGGGTAATGTTAAATTAAAAAACCTCATGAATGAGATATTCTCCGGCCCAGCAATGTGTGTAAAGCCGAAAAATGTTCAAAAAACCGTAGACAAAAAAAGTAACTAAATTTGTCTTTTGTCCCGTTGATATACTCTATAACGTTGATGTAATTAATGTAGTATTAAAATATTGCAATATATTCATTTCTCTTAATTAGTATTTGTCATTATAATACCGCACCATGAGCAGTTGATAAACTAGAGTGCATATGCTAATAGCTGCTCCTAAAAAATGTCCCAAGAGGCATACTCTATATATTTTCCGTAGCATCAATCCCGTGCTAATGTAAAAAGAGAATTGCATTGAAAAACCTATAGTAATTATCGAAAATTTTCGCTTGTTCGAAATTGTACCCACGATATCAATTCCTGATGTCTCTTGATGGCACGGATCAATTTACTTGTGCCATTAATAAAATCGATCTTGCTGATTCTTTCTGATAAGACGCCGAGCTGACCGCACAGATGCACAACGAGCGTAAGGGTCAGGCAATCCATTGCCGTTTGTGTAAAGCCAATCGTGTACAATAGTGGTATTTGCGACACGTAAGTCAATATGAAAATATTCAGATCCGCTATTTTATACCAGAAGTAAATGCGATATGGCAAATCGTAGGTAAAAGCTTTTCCTCCTTTTTGAGCGTGTTTAAGTATACCTGCAAGTTCATGCGGGGGTTTCAACGCGCACCTATTTGTTTTATATTTAAAATTTACGTTTATTATTTTTTTTTTACGTACTCAGTTGTCTTATTAAAGGTTTCGTGAAGTACAACATTGCAGTGAGACCCAGTGAAATCACGACGATTCGAATGAAACGTTTCGACTGGATATTGTAAGACAAGAAGATTCTCTTTTCCTCGTTACTCTCGTAATTATCCTCGGAAAAATCTTGGCCAAATTCCTCGAGTATTTTCCCGTACTCTTTGTTGTATCGTCTCATCGTGTACAGACGTAAGAACACCTGGACCATCGTAACGTTTTCCATCAGCGCGCCGATTATTCTCATAAGGCTAAAACTTCTTATCGATACGAGTAGCACCACGTGGTAAAGAAATAAATGATAATAAAAGAAGCAGAAAAACGTAACGAAGATGTAGTCGTTGGGTTTACTCGGCCATAAGCCCAGGGGCAGCATGAGATACTTGTTCCAGGACATTAACTTTTTAGCTTCGCTAAATGCATTTTTATATCGTATCGATGGCCCGCGCTCCTTGGTCGCAGCAGTAGTTGTCATTGTGTACTTTATATAGCTGCCGTAAACTTTTCTCTAAAATACACGATTCCTGTATACGCGCACTGATCTTGGCTTTTTTTTATCTCGGCGAAACTGCAGAGCAATTCTTACTTGTATAAAATAAATGTGAATCGGTACTTTTTTTCCATCTATCGACAGAGAAACATAAGCACGTCAATTTAGTATTCATGCAACTACTAATTTTCCTCGCGGATGCAATTATCTATCTATAACTGCGGCGCAAAGAATAATCTAGAGCTCCTCGATGCTCCAAATGAAATATTTACTTTGAAAATAAAACTTCTTCAAGTTGCACGAATTCCTTATTTGTTGTTGTTTTCCGAGCTCAACTTTAAGTTGTTCGATAAAAGCGTAACATTAGTTTCGAATTCGTTCAGTGTAAAAATAAGTTTTGGAATACATTTTTCCGAGATGTAATTGTATTGAATCGAGATGGATTCATTATTAATTAGTCTTCTGTTTCTGTTTTGAACTTCAATCATTGTTGATACTGAGATCGTAATGTAATTCGAGACACATTTTTATCTTGCAATCACAACAAGTGCTCGTTACAAAATCGTTCTCCGCATGACAGTGGTCACATTATTGTTTGCCTAGGTGATGATTTCATAATCAATTCTCTGTGCATTGCACTGATTGTGTCACAAGTTGCAGGTGGGATTTTTTTTCATCTAACTAAAAAGCAAGAAAATATCTTTGCATGGAATAGTGCTCAACAAAAAGTGTTTAGTTGATGGATGAATTTTTAAGCGACATGTCGTTTCCAAGTCGAAACTTTTGTTATTTCAAAGAATCAACGCGTACATTATTCTTCTCGACAGCAAGCAGTTGATGGAATCAATGTTTTATTCGTGTTAATAATACCATTTTTTTATAATACATACAACAAAAGCCTGAGGTAGTGTAAATAAACAATCAATTAGATTAACTGTGTGGAAAAAGGTTTTTTATCATCTTACGTTAGATCATGTTCATAAGCCACAATGTATATAGTATAATACAAAAAAAATACAATATACCTTGCACACAAAAGTACACAAAAAACAATTATCAAAAGCTTATATTCAATAGTAATCTTAAAAAGCAAATTAATTTGCTGTTGTTAACTATACAGTTTTGAAAAACTCTTAAATTTAATGAAGATTTATTTACTTTAAAGTCTGTTATTAATATTAAAATAACCGTTACCGTATGTTATTAAAAATACTTTTAGATGAAATTGTTGTTAAAAACGAATGTATCAGTATTGATATACTTTTTTACATAAATTGCGCGAAAAGTTTATGAAAAAGCTAACATACGCATTATTTCGAAAAAAATGAACTAAAAAGACAAACTCTTTACTTCAATTTAAACAATTTAATAGAAAACTAATGTTTCAATACTGATTTGGTTTTTGCGTTTGATTGTACAAAAAATGAACGGAAATTTAATCGTTATTAAAGTCAACCCCCACCGCTAGATGGCGAGGACCTGTATCTATGCATCTGCAAGTGGAGAAGTAAAAATAATTGTATAAGAGCACGATATTGGAAAACTCTCCGATACTAAATTCGCGAGCAAAACGGGCCATGCAATTGCCATAATGACAATAAAAATTAATAAAATCACGACTTTTCAACGATTTTGGAAAGGATTCGAAGTAATCTTCGTCGCGATCACAGACGATCTCTCGCGCTTTGAGTGTCTCGTAATTTGGTGGAATCGATCGTGCGTCACCAATTCCTGCTTCAAAAAGGGGAGAACGATAACTTTTAAGAAGCGATTCACAAAATCAATCAATCGAGTGTTAGAATTATTGTTAAACATTTACTTCCTCAAAAACAGCATTGAAGTAACTTTGACTCCCTTAATCGTATACAGTCATCTCGTCATAATTTTATCTAAATTCAAAGAAAAAAATTTAATTTTTGTTTATTCAAATAGTGGATTATCCGCCTACTTATCTCTACAGAACCGAAGTTTTATTATATTAATATTAGTACTTTACGATACTAGTGCCATAAGTAACACTTTTTGGCACGGTGCAATTTAGGGCCCGAGCGCAGCGAGGGTCCTAATAGCTGGGCCGAAAAGTGTCCCCTATGTCACGAGTATCGTACAACATTTTATAGCACTGTGCTAAGTTCACATTTATGCCCCCTTTTCCGATGCATAAGTCGCACTTTCTGATAACGCGAAGTGAGGTTAGCGCACGAGCGTATGCGAGTGCGATGCGAACGCCGCGGTGCCAGAATGTTCGACTTATGCCACCGAAAAGCGTGCCATAAATGTGAACTTATGCCACGCATGATTATTTTTACATAGAAGAGTGGTAGAGACCCCGTCCATCGCCTCTACCCATGAGGTCCTCCACTTACAGTGACCCCTCCGAACATATTTATTAAAAAAAAGACAAATTAACCAATTACAGAATAATAATAAATCAAATAATTACAAAATAATAATTAATAAATAAAAAAATTAAATTAAAAAGTAATAAAGTAATAAAAATAAAAAATAAAAAATAATAAATAAAAAATAAAAAAAATAGTTGCTGTTAATGGCGCACACGCCGAGGATCATACTGCAAAAGAAGAAAGAGAAGGTAATAAGGTCATGAATAAACGAGAAAAATACTTGTGACTTACCCTGTCCTCGTCGCCTGGTAACCAGCGCGCGACTCTAGGATAATCTTCCTCGTCCGTGCGACCAGCGTAATAACGCAACCTCTTCCTCAATCTGAGGTATTGGAGGTACACCGGGTCGTCCTCATCCGTCAGATCCTCCGCCATCTCGTCGTATAAGATTACGTATAGCCTGGTACTCATGTGGTTACGGACCAGCATATGTATGCGGTCCATAACCATCCGCGCGTCCGCCTCGGGACCGTAGTCAAAACGGCTAAACTACGCCGTGCCAAAAAGTGTTACTTATGCCACTAGTATCGTAAAGTACTATAAAGATCCATCACATTCATTTCATTCATAAAATTTTTTGTTTCTTGAGTGCCAAGGATTTTTTTTTCAATTTACATCTTTGGTGTGCTGAATTCAATATTGCAGTGCTCAAGTAAAGATCATTGGCTATACTTATTGATGGCAGCTGTGTATCGACGAAGCTATATATTTTATCATTCCGAAGAAAAAAAAGTTTTACGTTTGTTTATAGCACATCAAGTTTTTTACATCTTCGATATTAAATTCTTCGATACGTGAGAAACGAGATACTGAAAATAGCTCTCTCAAGAATGGTATATTATATGGAAATGATAATTTTAAATTTTCAAAAGCACAGTGTCACTGAATGAAAGCAACATCGATGATAAGAAGAAATTTAGCCCTTTTTTAGTTGCAAAAGTCTATCGTGCACCGACAAATGAGTTTAAATAACAATGGGACAGATGAATCGACAATTTTACACCATTGACATTTTTATATCAGCGCTTAATTAATAGCTGCAGCATATGCGGGACATCGTGAGAAACTTTTAACATGCAGCACACAATGCCGTGCTCGAAATTATTCATGAAGTACAATATTACGGTGTTAATCTGTGCAAACTACTTCGAACGACGTCTTTTACTCCATTCATCATTAATAAGTCTGAGATTAATACACAGGCACATACATTTTCACGGGCTTGAAGACAACTATGTGTCGAGCGAGAAGAGAAAAAATGAACTTCTTCTTTGTTCTTTTTTTTTTTTTTATTACACTTTTCGCGCGCGAGAAGAATAAGAGTTGCAGCGCACTTTGATCGAGAATCTGAATTTTCTTCTTTTTTTTTGCACGGCATCCTTTTGTTCTATGGACGCTTCTCGTGCAGCATATATATATATAACGACCGAGCTGTGCTCTCTCGGAGTGCAGCCACCTCGTAAAATGGCCATTATTCTCACGCTCCTCGCCATCGCGTGGGTGTTGAAGCTCGCTTGATTCACGGACCCCTGCAACACCGATGCGGTGCATCGGATAACGGATGGCATCCACTTTTTGTATTTATAAAAAACAAAAAAAAAATATCCTGTAAAATATCCTTATAAATATTTCATGCTATTGAAGAGTGGATGCCGCTCGTAGAGCACGACACATCTGGTCGAGCTTTATACGGCTGTTGAGCAAGTCGACTGCATTGAAATCGGACGATTTATTTTTAAAGCAACATCTTCAAATAACAACGGTTACTCGCGATCTTTTTTTTACTTTACTCACTCGAATGCGTGATTAAAAATGAAGTTTATTCTTGGAACGAAAATTGCATTAAAGTTTTTTGTGCGTGGAATTATTCACTCGATTGTCCTCTACCTTTCACGAAAGAAAAAAGACGAAGTGAATGCGTGGCTTAGATCGTTGATAATTAGGGGGGTTGAATTCATTAAACTTTTTTGTCGTAAAAACAATAATTGAATTCGCGCTTCGAATTTCACGCAAGACTGCGCTCTGCGCTCTATCTCTCTCTCCCTCTCTCTCCCATTTCTCTTCTATCGTGCGCGCCGCAGCATCTATGTCTCCGCAAGCTCTGCGTTTCGTTCTCGCAAGCTCGGAGATCGGTCCGCGTGTGCATATATCAATAGACGATCCGTACACAGCAAAACCGAGATAGAGAGAGAGAGAAACAGCAAACACTCACGTATACATAGACGCACACACACATGGTCGCATTTGATAGACCTTGTTCTAGATCCTGCGACTGGTACAGGCCGAGCTTGCGACTCACGACGATATATACGCTACTTGCTGCACGAACACGATTTGCGTTTAGCTCCGATACTGCCTAGCACGTACATCTATAGTAATATAGGCCCGAGTCGACTCGGGCTCGGGGCGCGCATCAGCCGAGTGATAAGCCATTTCGATTATACGCGTACGCGCACATAGCTCTCTCTCTCTCTCTCTCTCTCTCTCTCTCGTATTGTCTTGTTTTTGTCCCGATGCAGCGTATGTATGCATTTGTAGCAGCAGTAGGCAGGCAGTCAACAGTGGTACGTACATGCAGCTCTCACTTGCACACACACACACACACACATACTAACAAACACAAACGTGTATTATAATGCCGCGTACAAGCCTGTTGTACAGTATGCGCCTTCTCGCTCTACATATTTATACGTACGTGTGCACTGTTTTGCATTCCTC